ACTCGGTGCACTTGGTTGAGTTGAGTCTTTCGCATGTGCCACGGATGGTGTCTGCAAAGTGTTGGCTTGATGAGTCGCCTCTGGTGTGAAAGGGAAATGTGGCACAAAGGGAACAGAGACTTGGTTTTGAGAGGAGACTTGGGAAGCATTTTGAAAAGATGGTCCATGATACGCATTGTCTGTTTGATATCCTGGCGGGGTATAGGATGTGATAGCAAGGGCAGCCTTTCCTTTGTCCGAGAGGAGAGATGAAGGTGGTGTCCAGTTCGTAGGACGTATATTGCATTTGAACCAAGGATGTCCCCATTTATGACAATAATGACACTCAAACTGATATCTTGATTTTGGCTTGTAATGAATCTGATTGGAGTATGATGCAAGCTGAGAAATATGATTGGGTGTGGGTTGTCCAAGAACAGAGTGTGCTTGGGTAGGAGGAGACTTACTCTGCTGAAACTTACTCTGTTGTTGAACTGCTTGTTGAGGACGATAGTTGGTGTTTGTCATTCCACTCCACGCTGGTCCAGGGTCCCTTTGAAGCTTTGCAAGCTCTCTTGACTGGTGCTCAGTGATATGTGTGTTGAAAATGAAATCTCTGGTCCTTGTCTCTTCAGGAAACGATTGAATTGTGCTCCTCATTGTGCTCCAAGTAGATGAGAGTCCAGCCAGAAGAATGGTTTATGAAGAGGGACTCCGGTACTTGAAGGTCGAGAAGTGTAGCTTCGTAAAGAACCATCTCGCCACGTTGTAAGTAGTCGGGGATGGATTCACTATCCCCCATGCGAAGAGATACGACCTTGTTCCAAACTTCTGCCTTAGAGCCTTGAGAAACAGGTTGATGAAGGCGTTTGAGTCGGTCCCAAGCAGCTTTGGCACTGTCCCTTTGAGATGATACGAGGAGGAGGGGTTGAGAGTAGGTATCTTGAATGGAAGATAGAAGATAAAGATAAGCTTCAGCATTTCTCTTTATCCAATTGCTTTGTTCCTGAGCATGTGCAGCAGTTGAAGGAGAAACAACTTGCCCGGTGTAGATGCCCTACAAATCAAGAAGGGTGGCAGCTTGTTGAAAACGGATACTCCATAATGTGAAGCCCTTGCCATTGAAACGCGGGAGTTCCAACTTTGGAACTAAGTGTCAGAATCCCAACCACTAGACCATTGGGATAAAATGGCTTGTTAAGTAGCGGGTCAGTGCGCCCATAACCCCCCAAGACAACGTGCCTGTAACCCTTCCCTAGGATCAATCGGGGATCACCAGTGGACCTCTGATACCCCCCCGCACTGGGATGCTCGAAGTGCACACACTGGGATTCGAACCCGAGACCTTCGCCCTGATAACATGTCAGAATCTCAACCACTAGTCCATTGGGATAAAAGGGCTTGTTAAGTAGCGGGTCAGTGCGCCCATAACCCCGCAGTACAACGTGCTTGTAACCCTTCCCCAGGATCAATCGGGGATCACCAGTGGACCTCTGACACTAAGGAGGAGGTAAAGATGGATGTAGATGGTGAAATAGATAGAGATGGTGCATTAATCGTAGGAGGTGCTGCTTCATTTGAAGAGTTGGTGGAGACAGCAGATGAAGTTGATCCAGTTGGAGAAGAGTCTCCAAGCTTGAATTGTTGAATAGTGGATCTTAATTGTTGTATGGAGAAGAGTCTCCAAGCTTGAGTGCTGAAAGGTAGAGCTTGAATCTTGATGATGACAAAGCTTTGTGTTGAAACATTAAAACTTAAAATGCACTAGTCCAAAGGAGGTACATGATGGACTTGAGGAGCAACCATTAATAACAATCCAAAAGAAAGAAAGACTATGAAGCATAAACTTCTCTAGAGTTAGAGAACATGGCTATGAGCTTGGGTTGGGAGAGGTTGGTGATAAGAGTGGAGCCTTAGGAGTTGGGCATAAGGAGGAGGACTTTGAAGGTGGCCTTGAGAGAGATTGTAGTGGAAACTTGTAGAGAGCTTGGGTGTAAAGTGACTTGAAAATTGTGTTTGAGGAAATGAGGTGAACCTTTTTGTATTTGGTGGAGCTTGATGTTGGATGAAGGATGAAAAAAAGATGAATGATTGTGATTGGTTGAGTTGGATAAGGTGGGGGTGATGAATGTGGCCTTGAATTGAAGGTTTGGTGAGGAGAATGAATGTGGTCTTGAAATTAAGGCTTGGTGAATGAGATGAATTTGACTTTGATTTTAAGGCTTGGTGAGTGGAAAGAATGTGGCTTGGATTTGAAGGCTTTGTATGGAATCTTTTGTTTGATTGGTGGATGATGGGATAGGAAGGATGATGAGGATAGGGGGAGAGATGAGGTGGAGGATTGATAAGTTTTGATTGGTGAAAAATGATGATGTTTTGCTGTCTGGAGATATGAAGGGTCTGGTGGCGAATGGGCATTTTTGCAAGATGCCTTTTGTAGGTTCGAATTTTGGCTGACGGGGAAACTATGGCGAAAATTTTCGCCACGTGAAATTTTGTCCCGCCACCCTGGTGCCACGCGAGCAGCTGCAGCAGTTCATTCCAACAATGGCATGGTGATGGTTCTCCCCCCCATGACGGCAGAGACCAGCATGTATGCTGTATTCGGGCGGATCGGGCGGCGGACATTTTGCGGCGGCACAATTTCTGTACGCTGTACGAGCGGATCCAATACCTACACAGGTTTACAGTGCCGAACTGGGTAAGAAACACAACACGACTGTGCTCAAGTAATGCTGTGTACCTTTGATTCACAGGTTGGTTAACTTATGCTGTTTGGTTTGGTTTGGTTTCGTATGGTTTGTTGCAATCGAAACTGTTGATGGCGCGTGCTGCTGTCACAGAGTTTTGGCATCCACCCACGTATCAATGTTTGGCACGGATGGACCTAGGGCAGGCTGGAACTTGTTAGGAGCCGTGGCATTTGGTTGTTATTCTCTTCTCCCGACGATTGTTTTTTGCGTGAGGTGCGGGACGGCGTTGGTTGGGATGGTCCAGAAATTTGTGCGTGATTGAACAAGCAGCTATTCAGCTGACCTCGCAACCTCTTTTGCTGCTCGCGAACCTGAGATGGGCAGCTGAAATTGCGAAGGGGTGCTTGAAAAAATAGTTGCGCGAGCCAATAGCAATGATGGGCGTTTTTGCCATCGTGGCACAGCCAGCACAGCCTTATCATCAACAATCTCAATCGTCCACCTCATATTTTTCCTCGCCTCATTCTTCTCACCCCTCATTGCCTAGTTACGTCAGATCGAGGCAGCGAGGACTAGGTTCGCGTCGCATATTTCTACCGTCCATTATCAGATGTAAGGTGATCATCATTTTCGTCAGATCCAAGCGATAGTCGGTGATAAGGCTAGCCCCTCATTTGATCCTAAAGCCGCGACTTTCGTGTCAGTGGCGACAGTCGCGCTCACACGTCTAGTACCGTAACTATCACTAATATTGGATTGTAATAGCGTCGTGTAAGTTGCGCGATTCAGATTTTTGACTGGTAGTCAGTAGTTGTTCAGATCTGACGTTTTTTGGATTATTAAGCGATCTCAGTATGCGGACGAATTAGTAGCGTCGATTTGCAAACGCATTAGCAGTGTTTATCATGCAAATACACGTCGGTAGAGTCGCCTCAGTACATCGCCGCCGCCGTTAGGCAGGCGGACGAAGCCTCAAGATGGTTCGTTTTCTGGAACACGCGAGGATCGCTTTCGCACAGGATGGTCGAGGGGGGAGAGGGGAGGGAAAGGGAGGGGGAATGAGACGGTGAGAAACTGACGAGAGGCTCCTTCTTGCGTGGCGAGAGGCGACGCTGGGGAACCGGTGGTGGCGCTGACGCACCTCGTGGAGCCCCTTTCCGCGTTTCTCCCCCCTTCCCCCTTTGCGGTGCGTGACAAAAGACTGGTGAGAGGCGACGTGGCGGACCCGCCCCGTTCTTTCTCCCCGTCCCCGTTTTCCTCCCTTCCCCATGTTTCCCCCTTCCCCTCCCCGCGCCTTCTCCCCTTCCCTCCCCCCCTCTCCTTCCTCTTCTCGCTCGTCCCCCATTCTCCCGTCTTCCGCTCAACACCCCCCCCCCCGCTCTCCCCTCATCTCCCCCCTCTCCTCTCATCTCCCCGCTTTCCCCTCATCTCACTGCGATCTCCGCTTATTTCCCCGCGCTCACACCTTCTTCCCCAGCTCCCACGCTCCATCTCCTCTCCCTCTTCCACCCCCCCCACACACAGTCTCACTCACCTCTCATCCGCTTCCCCCATCCATGCCTCCTCGCTCACTCACTCTTCATCCCCCCTCCATCCACCTTGCGTTTTCCCCTGCCATCCTCCCCTCATTTCCTCCCACCCATTCACCCCTAATTCCCCTCCCCCATCCATGCCCCACCCCTCCTCCCAACCCCCATCAGCTCACCCCCATCTCCCCACATGCCCCTTCTTTGTTCACCCCTCATTTCCCCCTTCTCCCCCACACGTTCCACCCCCTCCCCTCATTTTGCCATGCCCCAGAATTAGGAAACATTTTTGTGACGATGTGATCTATCAATCCGTGCTGTTTATGAAAGTGCTCTTTCACCCCACCCCCCATCTCCCCCTTACCTCTCTCCCCCCCCCTCCCCCCTTACCCTTGTCCCCTTTCTTACCGTGCCCACTCCTCCCCTCCTTCGTTGGGCTTCTTGCCTTTGCAGCACAAGGGAACCGCCTCAGCTGTTGTGATTCGCAGCCAGCAGATGCACCAATCGTAGCTTTAGGTTGTTGGGTTGGTTACACTGTACTGTACAGCATTCTTCACAGTAATGTACACTGGTATCAATGTAGAGGCTATGGGCTGCAGTTGGCTGTTTTGTTGTAGCTGTGACTGCTGTAGCAGTGATACAAGTTGGTGAGGGGGGAATGGAGGGCATTACTAATGGTCCCATGGTATTATTTTGTAGGAAATATTTGATGGCAACAGTATGTTATGATTACGAGTGCACCTACGTACCAACACTGGAATGCCTTCCTAAATCCGATCTTCCTACCCATGCATAAGAAATCTCATGCAAATGCAAACCTCAGCCCAACACCCAAGGCAACCACGCCAGCCACAGGCACCCCTGCCTTCACCGAACCAGCAGCCGAGGCACGGTAACCACCCAAACCAGCCCGAGACACGGACAGGCGCAGGGTGGGCGCGGCAAGGGAGCGGGTGTTAGTGAAGGGCGCGCAGTAAGGCAGAGAGGAGGGAATGGCAAGCCTGTGAGGGACAGCTCGGGTCTTGTACTGGGTCTTGCGTGTGGAGGGACCCGAGGGAGAGGTGAGAGAACCAGCTGTTTAGAGAGGAAACGAGGGGAGGAGGGATTGGAAAAGTGGGAAAGGAGAAATAATGAGCGGGCTACTACTCAAGAACAAGCAAGAAAGGGATGTGGATTTCTGCAAGAGTTTGATCGCTCCCTATGGCAAGAAAGGGATTTTAGCGAGTTCTTTTAATGATTCCACTTACTGCAGATAAGGTCGTTATTGCCGCCATCCAGAGTACACTCCTTCACGTCCTGCAGTCCCACCAGATCTGCCGTCTCCCCTCCCACTCCTGCCCCTCCGTTGCCACTTGTCGCCACGCCATTCGTCGTCGCCTTCCCCTTGGTCACCGCACCCCTCGGCTCCCCATCAGCAGCATCCTCCATAAAAGCCACTCCGAATTCCGCTACAACACCATCAGCTTCCTCCAAAGCAGACAACATACCATCCAGCGACACACAGCACACCGGCACCTGCGGAACCACATACTCTCCCACTCCTTCCCCCCCCACTCCCTCCCCCACACTCCCTCCCCACCCTCCCGCTCCTGCCGCTGCCCCCTCATTATCACTCTCACTGCTGCTCTCCTCCCCCTCCTCCTCCTCTCCACTGTCACTGCTCGTGGTGGTGCTCTCATAGCAGCAGTGAGTTCCCCGGTACTTATCTAAAAGCTTAAACGCGTTACTGTTATAAAAGTCCGTGAACTGTAGCAGCAGGCTCGGGTTCCACACGCGCACAGCACCCAGCAGCTCCGCCAGGATATCATTGTAACGAGACGGCTTCAAACGGGGATGACTCAGCCCCCTATAACCAGACCCAGCCGCCAACAGCTCAGGGTTATCCGTGCCCGTATCCAGACACACGAGGAGACACCTGCTCGGGTCCAGATTCGGCCAGGCAGCCGCAGCAGACGAGAAGAGAGTCGCCATGCTGTCATTACTAGCAACTTTACCGTTACCACTGCTGCTGCTGCTGCTGCCGTTACTGCCGCTGTTGTTGCCCGTGTGCCCCAGCACGATTTCCGCATCTACTACCAGAACCGCATCAACGTCCTTCCCCACCTCCGCGCGCTGCTCCCCCCACCGCTGCAGCCGCTGCAGCATCTGCCCGCGGTCCTTCCCCGACAGGTACACCCCGCGCATCTCCTTCAACCCCGCGCCAGCAACAGAAGCAGCAGCAGTAGCAGCCGCGCCAGCGGCGGCGGGGAGCGCGGAGGGCTTGATGAAGACGGCGACGCCGTTCTCCTTGAGGCGGCGGTCCAGCAGGTATTGCTGGAAGTCGCGGCACATGTCCGCCAGTTCCGCCATGTCGCCCGCGCTCACCTGGTGTGGGGGGGGGGGCGGGGGGGGGGGGGGGGGATCGTGTGGGGATCGTGGGTCAAGGGGAATGATCGTGGGAAATAGCAGGTATTGCTGGAAGTCGCGACACATGTCCGCGAGTTCCGCCATGTCGCCCGCGCTCACCTCAACCTCCGGTCCCCCCGGCATGTGCAGGTGCTGATGCACCACGTCCTGCAGCTGACTCTGCTCCGCCTGCGCCGCGCCCGCGCCTGTCCCCGCGCCCGCGCCTGCGCCCGCGCCCGCCCAGCCCTGGAGCTCCTCCGAGTCGCTGGGGACAGCTGGGAGCGCGAGCGGGCCGTGCGGGTGCGGGTGGTACATGCTTGCGCGCGCGTGGCGCTCCCACTCCGCCACCGTCCCCGCGCCCACCGCGGGCGGGGGGGTGCCCAGCCCCTCCGCCACCATGAACTCGGATATACGCGCTATAAGCAACGGTACGAGCGCCTGGAAGGGGCAGGGACCGGGGGGAAAGCAAAGCGACGGGGGGAGAGGCGTGGGGGGAAGGAAGTAGCGAGGTGAGGTTCGTGAGTGTAAGTTGTAACATGCGTTTGAGTTGAATGGTGAGTCATGAATTCTTATCCTTGATTGTTGAATGGTGAGAATGTGTAACCGACAGGCTTGTATGCGTTAATACTCGACCAGTTGAAGGAACAATGTGAAAGGGGGTGGAGGAGGGGGGAGGAGGGGAGAAAGGGGCGCGGGAGGGAGAGCATGCGCGCGCGTGCTTACCTTCATGGCGGAGAGCGAGGGGAAGAGCATTCCGCGGTCCAGATGCGCCTGCGGCGTGAGTTGCGCCAGGAATTCCGCGGTCGACAGGAACACGTCATCCGTGATACTGCTGCACCTGGTTAAGAGCGCCGCCATGCCGATAGGCCCGAACACGTACGCGTTATTAGCCTGCGCGGGATACATCGTCACCTTCCCGCCGCCCGGCTCCGCCGATTCCGCCACCAGCGGGGGAAATGGGCTTCCGCTCGCGAACACCACGCGGCCGCCCGTGTATTTGAACGCCTCTTTATAAGAACACTCCGCCTTGGACGTGGGGTTCGAGAGCGGGAAGATCACGGGCCGATCGTTATAAACACCCATCGCTTCAACCACCTCCTTGGAAAACGCGTTCGCCTGCGCCGACACGCCGACCAGCACCGTCGGCCGGAACTCATGAACGGCCGAGATCAAATCCGGCTGGTACGGCAGATCGTGCGCGAACGGAATCTTATGATCCTGCAGCTCGCCCTTTAACTCGCGCTCCTTGCACACGAGGCCTTTGGAGTCGATAAACAAGCACCGCTGCCGCGCCGCGGCGAGATCCATTCCGCACCGTCGATTCATCGCCTGCGCGATCAGCTGCGCGATCCCCGTCCCCGCCTCCCCCGCGCCGAGGAACAGAATCCGCTGCTCCTCTAGCGGCCGCCCGGTGACGCGGAGCGCGGAGAGCAATCCCGCGAGCGTGATGCACGCCGTACCCTGGATATCGTCGTTGAAGCAGCATTGCGTGTGCTGGTATCGCTCGAGCAGCCGAAACGCGTTGCAGTTGCCGAAATCCTCGAACTGCAGCAGCACGTGCGGCTTCAACGTGCGCGCCGCGGTCATAAGCTCGTCCACGAGCTCGTCGTACTCCGGACCGCGCATCCGCCGCTGCCGCAGGCCCTTGTACCCCGGATCCGATAGAAGCTTCTCGTTATTAGTCCCCACGTCCAGCATCACCGGCAGGGCGCGACGCGGATCTAACCCCGCCATCGCGGTGTAAAGCAGGATCTTCCCCTCGCTGATCCCCATCCCCCCCGCGCCCTGGTCCCCGAGACCCAGGATCCTCTCTCCGTCCGTCACCACGATCACTCGAATGCCGCTGTGCGGGCACGCGGCGCGGAGACGCTCCAGAAAGTGACCCTTATCCGCCGCCGTGAGGTAGATCCCGTTAGGAACGATCCCGAGCTCGTGGTAGCGTTGGCAGGCCTCCCCGACCGTTGGGGTGTAAATGTACGGAAGAACCTCCTCCGTGTGATCCATTAGTAGGCGGAAGAATAACTCCTCGTCCGCCTCGCGCGTCGCGCGGAGGTACATGTAACGGTCGATGTCCTTCGGAAGCGCGTCGAGCGCGGAGAGCACGGCTTGCTCCATGGTCTCGCATTCCGCCTCCTCCTCCGGGGATTCTACGAGCTGATCCGCGTTGACCAGCGCGACTTTTGTCGGTAGCGGCGCGGAGAGCTGGCAGAGCGAGCCGACGTACGTCGCGGCGGGAGTTGCGGATGCCGTCGCGCGGCCGTTGCCGTTCTTCGCGCTGCCGTTTGTGGGGATTGATTCATCTGCCGAAGTTGTGGAGGGCTTCACAGCCGGATCGGCAGCGGGGGATCCGTCGGCCGGCGCCATTGCCAAATTTCAAAGCGAGAGGTAGTGTCGTCGAAAGTAAAATGGACAGCGGGCTCGAGCCAGCAGAAACAACCCGTGGCCTCGTTTCGAAAAATGCAGTTGTATCCTAGTAAGCTGAATCCTTTGGTCACTAGTCTGAAGGTCGCTGCAGAAGTAATCACTGTGTGTATCAATGAACGACAAAGCCGTTCTGTTTATGCTTTTGTTTGGCCACACAAGAACAGGAGAGCTGGATGGGCTGGGTGGGTGATCAGAATTCGGGGAGAAGCCATGGCGTGAACGGCTTTCCTAGGAAGAAAGAGGGAATGTATCAACCCGAACCAGCAGAGGAGGTAAGACTTGGCCCAAACCAGCTCGGCACAGTTAGTGAGATAGGTCGGGCATTTTGAAACACCAATTACAACACTTCCGCTGGTGAGCTGGCGGCCACTTGACTCGAAGTTACTGATGCCGAGCCGAACCGACGAGTCGCGTATATTCTGGGTGTTCCTCTCTGCCTGACCTGAACGTGATTATGTTCTGTCGCGACGCGGAAGCAGCTCGCCTGGGTGGCTGGTTGGAAAAAGCGTGCGAAGTAATTCGCGAAGCTTCAATTACGGTTACGAGTTCAGCAGCAAGCTCGTGGCAGAGTGAATTTGAACGACGACTGCTGGGAGGGATTTTTTGCGTGCTGTGTGGTGTGGATGGTGGTTGCAGAAAATGTTGGTGGGAGGGAAGCATCCCTGAGGGGGATCCGGCCCAATCAGACCACCAGACTGCGGAACGGCCTTCCCACGAGCCGTGGATTCGTTCAGGTGAGCTGCCCAACGGCGAATGCGGCCCACACAGCCACTGAAGCCAATGCCAACTCAGCAAAGCAACAACAACATCGGCGATAAAGTAGACCCGATTCGCTGGCTTTCCCAAGGTTTCCAGGGGCTGTGGCGGCACATGACCTTTAGCCACTTACGAACCTTGATCTTTCCGCGTCGTCCAAGCTTTTTGCCGATTCGAGGGCATTGATTGGCTGAGATAGCATAAGCTGTGTCTACGCCACTCGCCGAAAGTGTTGCTGGCGAGCCGCGTCCTCAGAGAGCAGAGCAGAACAGGTCACCGGCGTGCGCGCTAGGTCTGACAATATGAATCAGACACCCGTGTATAGTGTTACACAACTACAGGGGAATTATTTATGCTAACGATTTTGAGCGGAACAACCTAACACCCCAGGAACAAAATCTACTCTCATTTTGCTTCGTCAATGGCAGTGAAATACACATGACCACCACAGAGAATGGTCTACTACCCTATTCGTCTGGGGCCGAATCCTCGGAATCCCAGTCTTCATCCTCGAAATCTAAATCTTCATCGTCACCCTCATCTGTGTCATCGTCATCATCATCATCCTCATCACTGAAACTATCCGGATCTTCATCTGACGGTCCCTCCATTATCAAATCCATAAGCTCCTGTGCCGCCTCCTCATCATCCTCGGAGTCACTCCCCAAATACTCCCCCTCCTCCACTTCCCCGTTCATCACCCCACCACGCCCACCACCCCTCACGGCCCTCACCCTCGGCTGCCCAAACCCATCCTCATCCTCCTCATCCAAATCCTCCGAAAACCCTCCGAAAAGCTCCTCCTCTATACTATCCAACTCCTCCTGATCCTCATCCTCCTCCTCCTCCGCTTCATCCCCCTCATCCTCCATCTCCCCCTCATCCTCCCCATCATAATCCCCTAGCTCCTCCACCACCCGCTGCCGCCCAACCTCGAACAACCGCGCGACAGAATCCGATTCCCCATGCTCATCTACCACCACCGCTGCCACATACCCGTCCGTGGGTTCAACGGCGAGATCGAGGACGCAGCGCTCCACATTAACGGTTGCGATGTCAGTGTACGAAGTCGCGTCGATGGTTTTGAATGCTGAGAAGAGGGCGTGCTTGCGCCGCCGCCCGTGCAGGGCTGCAAGAAGGTCGTCGGTGGTGCGGCGGAGGGTGGCATAAATCACCTCTCCAGTGCCGTTGAATGTTATGGAGGTCTGGTCGAGGGACGGGACGCTGCGCAGAAGCTTCCTTGTCCGGAGATCCCACACCTCAGAGTTGATAATCACCTGACGTGTGGGGAGGGTAAGCAGGGATGGGGAGAAGAGCAATTGCAATGTCAGTGTAAGAGGTCGCATCGATGCTCTTGAACGCGGAGAAGAGCGGGCGTGCTTGCGCCGCCAGCCGTGCAGGGCTGCCAGGAGGTCGTTGGTGGTGCGGCGGAGGGTCGCGTAGATGACTTCGCCCGTGGCATTGAATGTTATGGAGGTCTGGTCGAGAGACGGGACGCTGCGCAGAAGCTTCCGTGTTTGAAGATCCCACACCTCCGAATTGATGATTACCTGGTAGGAAGGGGAGAGGAGGGACAGGGTGGAGGAAAGGGAAGGTTGGATGCCCCCTGCTTGCTGCTCTCTTCAAGGTGCGGCAAATAAAACAAACCCCAATATTCTCATGTAGTTGCCAATACCCCCCCCCCCCCAAATGATCCGCTCACCTCATTGCCTGAAGGGTGGAAGCTCCCTCCTAAATAGTCGGATAACTGGTCGAAGCGGTGCACGGGCTCACTGATGGCCGGTTGCTCACTTTAGCTGCTGAAAACAACAACCACCCCCAGTACGCTCACCTCATTTCCGGATGGGTGGAAGCCCCCTCCTCCATAGTCGGAGAACTGGTCGAAGCGGTGAACGGGCTCACTGATGCGCGGGTCCCGAAGGAACCCCTTCCACAGCAGCAGATCGTCCAGTGGAGAGAAATGCACCCCCTGGGACCCCAATCAACCTACTCACTCCCGCTTCCCAAACCAACAACTCACCTCGTTGCCAGAGGGGTGGAAGCCGCCTCCTCCATGGTCTGAGAACTGGTCGACTCGATGCACAGGCTCACTGATGTGCGGGTCCCATAGGAACCCCTTCCACAGCAGCCGCTGCTGCTGCTGGCCGGTCACCTCTACCTGCTCTGGAAACAAACAATCCTCAACCCAATTAATTTGTTGCCAATATTCCCAATAAATCCACTCACCTCATTGCCTGAAGGGTGGAAGCCCCCTCCTCCATAATCTGAGAACTGGTTGAACCGATGCACGGGCTCACTGGTCCTCGGGTCCCACAGGAACCCCTTCCACAGCAGCAGGTGCTGTGCCTTCAACCAAGCTTCGATGGACCCACCAGAGTACAAGAAACCAAATAAACCACTCACCTCGTTGCCTGAAGGGTGGAAGCCCCCTCCCCCATAATCCGAGAACTGGTCGAAGCGGTGAACGGGCTCACTGATGCGCGGGTCCCACAGGAACCCCTTCCACAGCAGCAGATCGTCCAGCGGAGAGAAATGCACCGCCTGGGATCCCAACGTGCGACTCACCCCTGCTCCCCCTCCTCCTCCTCCTCCACCCATCATTGTAACGCCAGCACCGCCAATACCAGCAGCAGTGGCACCAGCAGCGCCGGCAAGCCCGATGCCAAACCCTCCGAACCCACCATAACCGCCGTAACCACCAAATAGACCACCAAAGCCACCATTCCCACCGCGCCCGCCTCCCAGACCCCCACCAGCAACCCCACCGCCCACACCACCCCAACCAACCACACCAGCAGCACCAGCAGCGCCACCAGCGCCACCAGCAGCACCAACATATGAGTCTGCAGCAGCAGCGATAGGCGCTTCCCTGAGCGTTTCCTGCAGCCTGCCCGTAGCCACGTCATACAGCAGCACCTCTCTCGACTCCCTTGACTGCCCGTCGCACCGCACTGCACCGATGGTGCGAGCAGAGTGGCTGAAGCGGCCGAGGCGGCAGGAGGGGAAGGTGTGGATGGGCCCGAGAGAGAGGTCTGCTGCATCCCACAGCTTCACTTCTGTTCGGGTGGAGGAGAGCAGCAGACAGGACGCTGCTCCGTACGCTGCTGACGCTGCTGATGACCCCGCTCCTGCTCCTCCTGCTGCTCCTCCTGCTGCTGCTCCGCCTGCTCTTATCCCCGTTCCTCCTGCTGCTGATGCCCCGTCTTGCATTTCCTCCTCCTGCTGCCTCCCCCGCCCCCGTCCTACAAACCCCCTGTCATCATCATCATACCCCGGTCTTGGCGCCGAAAACACCGAAACTATTGAAGACTGGTGGCAGGAGTAGCTATCCACAATCACACCCCCCTCCGCGTCAAATAGCTTTATCTCTCCTGCAGTCGTCCCCACTGCCAAGCATCGCCTTCCCCCACCGAACCCCCCAACGCCCCCAGCACCCCCCCCGCTGAACCCCCACACGCCGCCGCCCCCACCCGCCCCGCCTGCCCCCAGCAAGAAACACGCGCTGGTGATCATAACCGCATCTTCCCGGCAGGTTCGCCAGGGGCGGAACCGGCTGTACACTAGCTGCCGATCCAGCCGCCGCCCCTGCCACCCGCCTGCGGGCGGGCGGCGCTGCCGGGCGGCGAGGCGGCGGGTGATGCTGTAGGGAGCGTCGAGGGAGCGGAGAGGCTCGGGGCAGGTGTGGGGGTGGAGGAGGGAGAGCGGTGGGAGGGTGGTGATGGGGGCGGGGCACTGCCTGTGCTGCTGCTTCAGATATGACGTGACGATGCCGTCCAGGGTTGTGCTGAGCTCGCCTGGGGGAGGTAGAACTGAGGGAGGTGGTGCTGGTGCGGGTGGGGCCGGGGCGGTTGCTGCTGGTGCAGGGGCTGCTAGCGCCTGGCCCAAGCTGTCCTCTGCGGCACCTGAGGCCCCACCTGAGGCCCCGCCTGAGGTTCCACCTGAGGCTCCACCTGAAACCCCACCTGAACACGGAACAGGCTCCTCTGATACAGCAGACCCTGCAGGTGTTTGCCCAGATGCAACAGCAGCCGCAGGAGAAGAACCACCACCAGAGCCATCCCCACCGGTACCAACACCAGCACCAGGAGCAGCAGCAGCAGCATCAGCAGCATCACTGGTACCTGCCCCTGCCCCTGCCCCTGCCCCTGCTCCGGCAGAAGCTATTGCAGAGGCAGCACCACTTTGCAGCGGAAGGGAAGGACTAGGGGAGAGGAGAGGCGGGAGAAGCGTGGAGGCTCGTTTGGCAGGAGGAGAGACAAGAAGCGCTGCTGCAGACGCAGAAGCAGAAGCTTCCTTGTACCCTCGCTTCCTCCCAGATACACACCGTGCCATCTGCTCCCTCCCAGGCGTGCTCTCTCTCTCCCCGCTGCTGCTGCTGCCGCCACTGGTCAAGCCTGCACCAGTCAACTCCCCACCCCTTGCCCCTCCTCCCCCAGACTTCATTCCCTCTTTGCTCAATGCTGCATCTCCCGTCCCTCTCTGCTCCTCATCCTCCCTCTCCTCCCCCCTGCTCTCCCCTTTCCCTCTAACCCTCTCCGCAAGGGAACTACCCAGTAAGATCCGCCTTCGTATCTGCCCTTCCTCCTCCCCTCCAACTCCACTCCCACTCGCCCCACTTGCATCCATTCCCACCGCTCTCTGCCGAATCACACTCCTCTCTCCTCTCCCCTCGCCCTTCCTTCCAGCAGAAAAGAACCATCCTGCCTTGCCCTTTGGCCAGCTAAGTCCCCCAGCTGCCTCAGCAGCCAATCCCGAACTGCCAGCTGGCGCTGCTGCTGACGTTGAAACTGGAGCAGCAGAGGCGGACGGAGGAAGAGGGGCAGGGAGAGCGTGGGGGGGGTGGCGATTGGGGGAAGTCTCAGAGGGAGCAAGAGAGGAGGAGGGGAGGGCAGCGGGAGAGGAGGAGGGAACGGGGGTGGCGACGAGGGGGGTGATGTTTGATTCTGCTAGCAGCTGGCTTGCTGACTGGTGTAGGCCTTCTGATACCAGATGGGCGTGTATCAGTTGAAGGAGCTCACTGTAAGGAGGATGGGACAGGGCGCGGGGGTGGGGAAAGAGATTAGAGGTTGGAAATTGAAGGCCTTCTGATACTAGATGCGTGTCTATTTGTTGAAGGAGCTCGCTGTAAGGGGGATGGGGAGGGATGGAGAGAGAGAGTGAAGTTTGAAAGATGAAGGCCTGCTGATACGTAGGAGACAGCAAGTGGGATATGAGACCTCCGCACAACTGACCTGCCAAATTCGTGGTTCATTGCAACCATCTTTGTTACTAGCATCTGAACCAGGGTTGACCAAGGTTGGCCCTATCTCACCTGGGCGGGTAGCTGATGGGGGTGGCAGCAGCAATGGCAGCTCGCTCCAGCCTCTTGAGTGTGGGCGCTGTTGCTTCCGTGGCTGCTGCTGTTGTCGCCTTGCCTGCACTTGTGGTGAGCTGAGGGGAGAAGCACAAAAGCAAAGACGTGGAGATGAAGTGAGGTGGGGGCACAAAGCACGAAAAGAGAAAACGCACCAGTTAGAATTCTCAAAAGGCTCCTGGGAGCGTTTTACCACAAAGATACCAGTCACCAGAGCACACTGTTCATGGTACCATGTGTTCTCCAGATCACACTGTTGGGAAATTGAAAGCCATGAGTCGATGCAACGGGTGGTGAATTCACCGAAATGAGCTCAAGTGCTGACTGTTGGAACTCATGCAACCACCGGGCGTGCAGAGCCTGCAACCCCATGCCACTGGACCCGCGATGATGATGCTGCTGACGATTCTGCTGCTGCTGATTCGGCTGCTGCTGATGATGGTGCCGGTGGTGGTGCTGCTGATGCTGCACTGACGCAGAAGGCAACCCAGCCGACACGTCCCGCAGAAGATCCGAAAGCTGCCGCCCGAGCTGAAGCTTCGTCAAAATATGCGTCAGGGCGGGATCCCTAGCCAATCCCAGCAGCACCCGGCATGCAAGAGCTCTAATGCAATCCGCGGAAGGGGGAGGGAGGGGAGGTTTGCAGTGCAGCAGCTGTAGGAGAACTCTAATGCCGTTGCTGGCTCTCAGAGCGTCTCTGGCTTGCTTGTATCCTTGCTCCATGCAAGCTGCTAGCCCTGTTGCGCCCAGGCCTAGCCCGAGGGGTTGCATCCTGCGGTCCTGAGGGGTTAAGGGCGGTGCTGTGGCGGCTGCAGGTGCTGCTGGTGCAGCAAGTGCTGCTGGTGTTGCCGGTGTCGCTGTCGCTGGTGTTGCGGGTGTTGTTCCTGCTGCTGGTGTTTGTTGTGCTGCTGCTGGGGTTCCACGTACAGGTGTAGAAAATGCGTCCAGCTGCTGCGGCTGCTGCACCTGCTGCTGTTGTTGCTGCTGCTGCTGCTGCTGTGGCCCTGTCTCAGTCCCTTCAGTGATGCGTGGCAGTGCACGGCTTGAACTCGGAGTAGCAATAGCAGCACCAGCACCAACACCAGTCGCACCACCAGCACCACCAGCAGCAGCAGCACTGGCAACACCAGCAGCACCACCAAGAGCACCAGCGGAATGCCCAGCACTCCGGCTATTCACCACAGAGCAGTACGTGGGGAACGGGCAGACGAGATTCACGACAACCAGCAGCGCGATCTGCATGACCTCGGGATCCGCCAGCAGAGCCCCGCTGGCAGCGTCGAGCAGCACGGGCATGCCGCAGCGGTGGGAGGCCACGCGCGCTGAGAGCACGTGGCGGTGCGTGAAGGGCGCCAGGGTGAGCACGTGCAGGACCCCCAGGGTGTGCTCTGCTAGCTCGCCCGTGCTGCGCTCTCCTGGAGGGATCTGCAGAAGAAAGGTTTGAAATTCGGGCAAGAGAGGGGAGCACACGTGGAGGTGGGTGAAGGGCGCGAGGGTGAGCACGTGCAGGACGCCCAGGGCGTGCTCTGCTAGCTCCCCCGTGCTGCGCTCTCCTGGGGGAATCTGCAAGGGAAAGGATTAGGGTTTCGGATGTGGGGTTTGGGATGTTGAGAAAGGGGAGTGGCGATAAGCAGCTACAGCGAGAAAAAAAACGGGTTCGGGAAGAGAGGGGAGAGAGCCATATGCAAACCTAAGCCCTGAGCCCTGACTCCTACCCACATGCAAACCCCTGAACCCAGACCTGTGAGCCCACCTGACAGAGCTCCAGCAGCACGTCAACAGCGCCCTCCTCCACGGGCCTCTCAGCGGCACCCCACCGCGAGCGCACAAACCTCTGAATCCTACACCCGCCCAAGCCTTAACCTTTCAGCCTACCCGTAAGCCCAAGCAAAACCCGGAACCCCAGACGTGTCCACCCACCTGGCAGAGCTCCAGCAGGACGTCCACTGCCCCTTCCTCCACGAGCCTCTCAGCAGCGTCCCGCTGCAAGCGCACAAACACCCGAATCCCTGGCCTTAGCCTCTAACCCTGCACCCTGGTCGGACCCAGATTACCGCCTTTTGAGGCGACTTTTGAGGCGACTTTTGAGGCGACTTTTGAGGCGACTTTTGAGGCGAATTTTGAGGCGACTTTTGAGGCGACTTTTGAGGCGACTTTTGAGGCGACTTTTGAGGCGACTTTTGAGGCGCCTCAAAACTGGTCGGACCCAGATTACCGCACCCACCTGGCAGAGCTCCAGCAGCACGTCTACAGCCCCCTCCTCCACAAGCCTCTCAGCAGCGCCCCACCGCAAGCGCAAAAACTTATGAACCCTATACCCGTCCCAGCCTTAACCGCCCAGAGCATTCCTAAACCCAAGCAAAGCCCTGAAACCCCGACAAACGAACCCACCTGGCAGAGCTCTAGCAGCACGTCTACAGCACCCTCCTCCACGAGCCTCTCAGCGGCGCCCCACCGCGAGCGCACAAACCCCTGAATCCTAGACCTGCCCTGGAGGCACTAGGTACATTGCAAAGCCCTGTACCCTGCTTGAACCCACCTGGCAGAGCTCCAGCAGAACATCGACTGCCCCTTCCTCCACGAGCCTCTCAGCAGCGCCCCACCGCGAGCGCACAAACGCGTGCGCCAGGCGCCGGTCCGACACCATCAGTGCCTCCATCAACCCTTCAACTGCCTGTGCACTCGAATCTACGGCTCTGGTGAGGCTCCGTGCGTGGTGCGACGGCTTGTGAGGCGCTTGGGTGCGGTGGCGGGAGGAGAGCGAGGAGGAGGGGGTAACAGTGGGGGCACCGGACGGGACAACAGCGGGGGCAACAGAGGGGGAAACAGAGGGGGCAACAGAGGAGGAGGCACCGGAAGAAGGGTGGTGGAGGGATTCGAGATGCAGCACGAGGTGCACGCGCATGTACTGCCGAAGGGCGATGCACGTGTTGTGAGCCACCTGCCTGCCTGCTGGCGTCAACACCTCCCAAGTCATCGTGCCGCTGCCGGTGCCGCCAGTGCCGTTGCTGCTACCGCCCAGACCTGGTAGCGCTGTTGTAGTTGCTCCTGCTGCGGCTCCTGCTCCTCCGCCTCCTCCTCCTGCTGACCCAACTACAGGATGTGAAGCTGCCTCTGTCCCTGCAGTAGCAGCAGTCCCAGCAGCGAAGTGCATTCCCCCACCCAGAGGAAACGGCAAACCCAAGCGCCCTCCAACGAAATTACCACCCTCCTCTGACCATCCTACCCCTCCCCCTGGCCCTCCCCCTCCCCCTACCCTACCCCCTCTGCCCAATCCAATCTCCCCTGCTCCAACCTCCCCCTCCACCAAAGCTCCTGCTCCCGCTCCCCCTCCCGCTCCTCCCCCTCTTCCCGCCCCCACTCCCCCTGCCCCTGCCCCCGGCCCCAGAGCCCCTCCCCCACCGCCCCCGGACCTTAACTGAGCAGCATTCCTCAGCAGAGCTATGAGGGCGGGGAGGCCCCCCTGGGCGTCGAATTCGTGGAGCAGGCGGGGGAAGGCGAGGGAGGCGGCAAAGAAGAGCGCCGTGTTGCGCCGCGCGTGGTCCAGCGGGCAGAGGAGCAGGTGGAGCGATGCGGAGATGAGAGATCGGATGACTGGCTGGGGGAGAGATGCAACACGCTCCATCACACTCTGGGGGGAGGAAGGGGGGAAAGAACAAGGGGAAGAAGGGAAACACGGGGCAGAGCAGCATTCCTGAGCAGAGCAATGAGGGCGGGGAGGCCCCCCTGGGCGTCGAAATCTAGGAGCAGGCGGGGGAAGGCGAGGGAGGCGGCAAAGAAGAGCGCCGTGTTGCGCCGCGCGTGGTCGAGTGGACAGAGGAGAAGGTGGAGAGATGCTGAGATGAGGGATCGAATGACTGGCTGGGGGAGGGACGCCACTCGCTCCATCACACTCTGTTGTGAGGGGGGGAGGGAAGGGAAAAGGGGAAGGGGAAGTGGGGGAAGAGGGGGACGGATGAGGACGGGGATGTTGATGACGGGGAGCACGGAGATCAGCGAGCGGATGACGGGCTCGGGGAGGGATGCCACACGCTCCATGACACTCTGGAGGCGAGGAGGCTTCCCTGGAAGATTACCCGAGTCGAGTCTAGGGCGAAGAAGGCATGTGATAAGTCGATTTTTGAGTCGACTCAAAAATACACTCTGGAGGCGAGGAGGCTTCCCTGGAAGATTACCTGAATGGAGTCTAGGGCGAAGGAGGAACAGCGAGGCCCGGGAGGGTGTGGGGGACGCGGGGCAGCGAGAGGAAAGAGAGAGGTGATCAAGAAGAAGGAACGGGAGTGCCAGGCGGTTACCTGAATGGAGGCTAGGGCGAAAAACGCGACAGCAAGGCCAGGGAGGGTGTGGGGCACGCGGGGGAGGGAGAGCAGCAGCTGCACGCCCCCTCGGTCCACAAAGAGTGTGGCGAACTTGCGGTGTGCTGTGAGCGCACACACCAGCTTGAACACGTCTTTTGAGACGTCTCAAAAGAGCGCACACAGCAGCTTCAACACATCCGCCAGCAGCAGCACACTCATCAAGAGAAAGGAAAGGGAAGGGAGTGATGTTCAAGGGAAGGAAAAGGAGTGCCAGGTGGTTACCTGAATGGAGGCTAGGGCGAAAAACGCGACAGCAAGGCCGGGGAGGGTGTGGGGCACGCGGGGGAGGGAGAGCAGCAGCTGCACGCCCCCTCGGTCCACAAAGAGTGTGGCGAACTTGCGGTGTGCTGTGAGCGCACACACCAGCTTCAACACGTCCGCTAGCAGCAGCACACTCATCGGCCCACTGGCTGCTGCTGCTGCTGCTGCTGCTCCTGTTGTTGCTGCTGCTGCTGCTGCTGCTGCTGCTGCTGTTCCTGCCGCTGCTGCTGCACCTGCTGTGGAATCCCCTGCGCCAGGGGCAGTGGCAGCAGAAGCACCGCCACCTGCACTGGCCACACCAGGAGCAGCAACAGCAGCAACAGACCCCTCGGCCCCTGGAGGTCCCGGCGTGGCGCACCTGAGCAGAGCAAGGCAAACATCAACGCCCTTCTCATGCAGCACGGGACCAAGCACCTCCATGTACTCGCCCAGTGCGGCCAGCGTCTGCACCGCATACCACTCCCTCAGCTGCGCCAGCTGCGGACGAGTCAGCTGCCAGGCAGGGCGAGTAGGCACTGCTGGAATGGAGGAGGGAGCGGTAGGAGGGGTGGGGGCGGTGTGGGATGGGGGCAGTGGAGAGGTGGGGTCCTGTGATGGTGCTGGGGTGGAGGGCTGTGGGGTCTGCTCTGCTGCACTGGCTGCTCTACCTGATTCTTCTCCTGATGCTGCGTCTGCTGCTGCACCTGCAGCACCTGCAGCTGGTGGGATAGAGGCACCTGGAGCATCTGGAGCCGAGCCCTTGCTCCCACTCCCTGCCCCAATCCCTGCCCCACTCACTGCCTGCGCGGCCTGTCTCACAGCATCAGCAGCGCTCCTAGCAGCAGCAGCAACAGCCTCGTCGCCTCCTCCCCCCTCCAACACATCAGCAGCTGCTTGCTTAACCGACTCTGCTGCTGCCTCCACTGCAGCTGCCACCACATCAGCTGGAGCATTAGCCGCCTCTGCTTCCCTTCTCGCCGCCTCCCATGCCGCTGCAACCGCTTCAGTGATATCCACAGCCCCAACGTTAACTGCTCTTGGAGGTGGGAGTAAATTCTCAAGGCCAGAACCCTTAACCCCTGAGCCCCCAGGAACCCCTGAACCCCCAGAACCCCCAGCCCCCGAACCCCCAAACCCTGACCCCTCAATCTCGGACCCAGCAGTTCCAGTGGCGGAAGCATGCTTGCCCTTCCCTGCGCCCTGCTCTGCTTTGCTCCCTTTCAGCCCAGCTTTCCTACCACCTCCTCCCCCTCTACTCCTGCTTCCCAGCTCCTCTCTGCCCCCTTCCGCCACCATTCCTCCCCCTCCTAAGTCTTTCAGCTTCCCCAACGGGGAGAGCGGGTTGGATGCAGCCTTTGCAGGGGTAGTCATCACAACATCCCCCTGTGCTGCAACGTTTCCGCTTCCCATCCCCTCACCTACAGCCTCCGTCTTCCCATTCTCCTCTGCTGCTGCTGCTGCTCTCGCCTCCCCTGCTAATCCAGCAATTTGAGCTGCAGCCGCAGCAGCAGCAGCGGTGGTAGCAGCGGCGCTACTCTCCCCCCTGCTACTCACACTACGCAGCTTGCTCCCTCTGCTCCCTGGCGTTCCCACAACCCCCGTCCCAGTTCCTCCTCCTCCTCCCCCTCCTCCTACTCCACCTGCTCCTGCTCCTCCTGCTCCTCCTGCTCCACCTGCCCCCCCTGCTGCCCCCCCCTCGCCTCGTGCTCCCCCTGCAGCGGGAGCAGCAGCGCGCCCCAGCACTCGCTTGCGCAGCAGGCGGGCGAGGTGGGGCACGAGGCCTGTGCGCACCACCTGCTCCACCGCCGCCTCGTTGCTGGGATGGAGTTTGCGGGGAAGAAAGGGGTTACTACAGATGTACGGATTTGGGGATGCGGGGGTTGGAGAGAGTAGGGAGGTAGAAACCCAGGGGTTGAAAGGGGCGAAGTGTGGCACAGGACCTTTCAAATGACGAACAAGCGTGGTACTTACGAGCTGAGTGCAACAGCAACGAGTCCAGTCGAGAACGTTCTCAGCATGTCCGTCGCCAGAACAGCCGATGCTCTCGCCCTCGCACCCACACCACCACCACCACCACCACCCACGCCAGCAACCCCACCCGCAGCAGCAGCAGCAGCAGCAGCAGCAGCAGCGCCGCCAGCCCCGGTTCCTCCTGCCCCGCTACGATCCCCCCCCTGTCCCTCCTCCCCCGCGTCCTCCTCCTCTTCCTCCTCCTCCTCCTCCTCCTGCGTGCCCCCGGCGCCACCAGCAGTGCCAGCAGAAGCGGCAGCGGCGGCGGTTGTGGCGGTGGCAAGGGCAGGGGGTGGGGAGGAGCGAGTGGAAAGGGCGGCCCACGCAATGACTCGTTCGAGAATACCCTCCTCGAACACTCCACGGTACTGTGTGGTGTGGTGTGAACCGAGTGAGGGGGGAGAGGAACAAGTGAGGGAAAAGCTTGAGTAAGCGTAAGATAGTCAAAAGCTAGCAATAGCTCGCTCGAGAATGCAGTCCCTGAACACTCCACGGTACTGTCATATGTGGAGAGACGCGTGTAAGAACACGTGGAAAAACACACATGAGGCACAAAGAGAAACATATGCTTCATGGGGAGATGCACAGAAGAAGCGGGGGGGTTGCGGGGGAAGGTGTCGGGGTTAGAGTGGGTGGAAATTGGAAGCCGGGAGGTTGGGGGGACATGCGGGTTTGACACTCTCGGACTCACGGCGCGGGTTTACCCCCCGGGGACTCACCACGAAGCTCATCGCGCAGGCGAGCAGCAGGCGAGCGCCCGCTGCGCGCTCCTCCTGCGACCTCCACGACTGGAGCAGCAGCTTCGACGTCAGCAGCTCGTACAAGTCGTCGTCCTCCTGGCGGAAACAGGGGAAGGTTGAGGGATGTTGGGGGGGTGTGGGGTGCTTGTTAGCACATTGCGAATCCAAATGCTTACATAAAGGTACACAGGTGACAAATGACAGTCGATTTGCCAGTGAATGAATGGAAACTGAGTAGAATGGATTCGATGAAAAGGTACGACGCGTGTCAAGGGACGATCGACGTACGCGCAATGAGTTGACGATTCGTCCGATAGTGTACGAGGCTCGAAGATTAGACGAGGAAAAACCCGCTTGCTGCTGGTACCTGAGGAATACACAAGTGCCAGGGAATAGGGAAGGAAATTTAAAAGAAAAATCAAAATATTTTCGCGGGATTCAAATTCAGAAGACAAAAGCAGGGGAAGGATTCTGAAAAACGAAAGCCAGCAAATCATAGTTGATATGCGATAGGGAAATGAGGAACGGGAAACTGAATAGAACAAATAAAATGAAAAAAAAAAAAAAAAAAAAAAAACAGAACTAAACTGGAATGAACGGAGAGAAAAAGAGTGGGCAGAATCTCACCACTGCTCCTCATCCTCGATGATCGCAGCGAGCTGGTGCAACAGACTCGTCTCGGGATGGTTCCCGCCAGCCACGATCTGCAGCACCAACTCGCGCACTCTGCTCAGCACGACATCCGGAGGCTCTCGCGACGCCGCTGCGAGCGACGGAAACAAAGCTGCGCTCGCCATGGCTGGTAGTTGATATATTCCGTGCTGACTGATAGGTTCAATTTGGACGAATAGATTCTAAGGTGATTGACAGCTTCAGCCCTGATGGATATATTTAATCGTTCTTGGGTGGTTCTAAGTCTGAAAATGCGACTGCAAACTGCCTTCGGCTGAGGATTTAGAAACAGAGTTCAAATGGAAAGCATCAAGTGGAACGTATCGAAGTGAAGCGAATGCGCTGCTGTTTCTTACTGGTACCGACGGAATGGAAATTCGCCATGCATTCAAGCGGCAAAATAACTGATGGAACTAATGATTGACGACGAACCCGGACCGGCACGACCAGTCGGTCAGAACCTCACTCCTGGCCATAAACCTCCTAACTGAAACTAAGCATAAAATTGGGAACCTAAAACTCGGGTGAAATAGTATCTACAGCTGATGTATCCATTCCTGCAACTCTTCCAGATTCTGGATTCTGGAACTCGGATGGCGGAAAGGCCTCCCCGCACCCCGTCCCCATATTCCCCTCCCCGCTACTCCAGCAGTGAGGCGAAACCTTGAAACGTTCGCGCAGATCCCCGTCCGTCGGAAAATGGCAGGAGGGGGAAGGAAAGAATTGGGGGGGAGTTGAAGGGTGTGGCGGAGGGAACTGCCTGAGGCTGGTATGCGGAGGACGCAGAAATGGTTTTGAGCTCCGCTCGGATGCTGCTTGTGGTACAGTATTGCGCTTGTGAGTTAGGGTGTCATGTACAGTGTTGCCGCTGGACCAATCAGGAATTATGTAACGCAATTGCACATCACAACGAAGTGAACTTTTCTAAACCATCACAAATAGCTATGGCTAATGCACATGTTCAGGTGTGGGGCAGAAGAACCAAGGCCCGTGAAACTGACAAGGCTCTGCTCAGAGGCAAGGCTAACCTGACAGCTGAATCACCCAGCCATAGTTTGTCTTTGGCTGAGAAAACCCTCTCTTGTCTCATCAGACTTTCCACTCATCTACTCCATCTCAATCCCTTGCACATTTCCACACCATCCCTTCACATGGTAAGCACTGCCACTGCCACTACACATTCCTTTTGAGCTTGCAACGTCCCATATTACATAGTAGATGCACACGAAGCATGGCCTGAACTTCTAACATGCATCCGCCAACAAAAGGGGTGCACACTGAGGGGAGGTATGTTGCATCAATCAACAGACGGCGGATGCACAAGGTCACAGTGCGGAGCGCAAGGAGAATATGGAGTGAATGGAAAACAAGCTGAGTGAGCAGCAAGCAGGGCCAAACAAGTGGGATGGAGGCACAGAGAAAATGGGAACGTGACGGGAGGAAGAGGAGAAACGGGAGGGAGGGAGAAAGGGAGGGAGGGAGAAAGGGGGGGAGGGAGAAAAGGGGGGAGGGAGGGGGAGAGGAGCGGAGGGAGGGAGGGAGGGAGGGAGGGAGGGAGGGAGGGAGGGAGGGAGGGAGGGAGGGAGGGAGGGAGGGAGGGAGGGAGGGAGGGAGGGAGGGAGGGAGGGAGGGAAGGAGGGAGGGAGGGAGGGCTGGGGGAAGGAGAGAGGAAGGGAAGGAAGGAAAAGATGGCAGCGGGAAGAGAAGGAGTGGGCGGGAGGGAGTGCGGCAGGGGATGGGGAAGAGAGACGAGCGAGAAGGGGAAATGGGGGAAATGCGAGGTGAAGGATGGTTGCGGGAAGGGAAGAGAAGTCGAAGGATGAAACTGACAAGCAAAGGCTTCAATGCAGCGCAACGGAAAACCTCGCGTAAGGCTGGGAAATGGCTCGAATGGTAGAAACTCCCTTCAGGGATAACAAGCTAAAGGCTATTAATGTGTCAAACCTCAGGAGAACACGCCTGGGAGATTTGAATGCTCTTGATCGGGATGACAGCATAATGACTCGACAGTGGTGGTAGTAGCGAAGCGACGTAGTTAAGGGAAGCCGAGAGTACAATATAATTCCACGACGCATACACGGCAGGAAGAATCAACAATGGGAAGAAAGACAGGCAACAGCCGCACCCAGCTACAACGCGTCTTAAACCCTGCTCCTGGCGTGGCTAAGAAGAATCGGACACGGCCTTAACCTCCTCGTACTCAGTAAAAAAGAGTGGGAGAATCATCAGCCTCGGAACATTGTCCTCAGATTCACCAATCCCAGGGTTATGAGTCGACTCGTAAGCCAGGCTAGCTGACCCAGACTAGGATCTATCGAAGCGCCAAAGAAGAATGTGTCTAAGACGAAGCGGCCGGAGCCTTCTCATCCTCCTCTAGACGCCAGACGGGAGGCGCCTCGGGCAACGGCCCGTAGTCCTTGGTTCCGCCGCGCTTCCTGTCCCACACCGCGTGCTTCTTCGGCCGCGTCGCCACGTGGCGGCCCGTCGCCTTCTTGTTCACGTGGTGCGCCGACTCGATGTTTAGTCGCCGCGAGGAAACCGGCGCGGTTGACAGGGAAGCGACCACTGCCGGACACGTAGCGACGGAGGCGGCGAAAGAGAGGGAAGCCATGGCGCTAGGTGTTGGGAAACGGAGCAAACTGGGAGACAAGATGTGATAGAAAGCTGCGACCTTGAGGGGGAATGCTTTGCGAAGAGCGGATGGAGGGAGGTGGGGAGGAGAAGAAAGGGATGATGATGGGTTCTGTGGTGTGGTGTGGTGTGCTGAGTGTAAAATGCAACAGGCCTTCAGCACTGCTCTGGCAGGGCGATGTGACGGCTGATGTGGATGGGTCGACGTGGCAGGTTTGTAGAATCACATGCGGTGTACAGGTTGTAAGATTAATAACTAATAATTTCTTCACAAGAAGGTAAACAAAGCCCAATTGGAAAATTCCCATGGGATAATAGATGGCTCTAAAGAACAGAGAAAGGCTATACAAGAGGTTAGCGGCTCTATATCGTAGGTGGCACAAAACAGCTGGAGAAATACCGTAATCCAACTTCGACAAACTCCAGCAGTGTGAAGTCGCTAAGACTTGTTTTTGGCGTGCTTGATCAGCCAGTCAATAACAACATCAATGTTAGTCGTGTGCTTGCAGGAGATGCTGTAGCAGCACACCTCCCTTCCCTGCATCACCTGGTTCAGTCCCCTGGACCATCACCACCACATATACAAATGCATTCAGAAAATAATGTTGAGTGGAACCCAAAACGAGAACGCTACGGTATGTGATACATCACGACGACTACCAAGGCGAATTCAAGGCAGGGTGCTTACATGGCTTCAATGAGGGCATCCCGTGAAACGGCTTCTGCCTTGTCGCACTTGTTCCCCAGCAGCAGCAGTGGAATGCCGGCGAGAGATGGCTTGCTGAGCAGCTCATGCAGCTCTCTGCGGGACACTGGGATGTTGTCATGGTCTGATGCATCCACCACATAGCTGAGAAGACAGGGGAGAGAGGGGGGAGGAAAACGGGGGAAGGGGACTGAGGTGAAGGGAAGTCCGCTCTTGAGGTGCCTAAACAACACACTGGGATGTTGTCATGGTCCGATGCATCCACCACATAGCTGCGAGGGGTGGGGGAACCAGGCGGGAGCGGGCAGGGGCAGCGGCAGAGGCAGCGGCAGGGACAAGGGAAAGGGAAGGGGCAGGGTAAAAAGCTTGCTGAGCAGCTCATGCAGCTCTCTACGGGACACTGGGATGTTGTCATGATCTGATGCATCCACCACATAGCTGCGAGGTGGGGGGGGAGGGGACGGAACAAACGTGAGGAGGGGGATTGAGGGTGAAGGAAGCTCATTCTTCAGGTGCCTAAACAATACACACTGGGATGTGGTCGTGGCCTGATGATGCATCCACCATCAAGCTGAGAGGAGGGGGATTAAGGTTGAAGGGAAGGCTATTCTTGAAGCGCCTAAGAACACACTGGAATGTTGTCATGGTCCGATGCATCAACCACATAGCTGCGAGGGGAGGGGGAGCATTGGGAGCTTGGGGGGTGTGGTGGGGGAAGGGGAAAGAGGGAGCGGGGATAGTGTGGTGAGGCGAAGGCACGCAAGGATTACAGAGCCTAACCCTGATGAGTAAGCACGTGGAGAAGGAATGCGGGGGGTTGTTGCTGCTTACACGATGGCTGACACGCCTCGGCAGTATCTCTCCCACATGCTCCGGAATCTTGGTTGCCCGCCCAGATCCCACAGCTTTATGCTCACATTCCCTTTCGTCACCTTGCGCATGTTAAAGCCCACCTGTGGAAAGGAAGAGCGAAAGAGAAAGTAAGGGCAGGGTTGGTTAAGGGAACGCGTGGCGTCCTGGGTTAGGTAGAGTAAGAGGCAGCTGCCATGCAGAGGGAAATCGTGATGTGTGGAGTGTGGTGCGGAGTGGCGTGATGTGGTGTAATATAGCATGGTGCGGTGCAGGACGGATGTTGCGGGGTGTGGCGTGGTACAGTGCGGTGCTACATTGTGCGGAGTGGCATGCCGTGTCATATCATACCATACCGTTGGGATCATGTCTTCGTTGAAACCGCCAGTCTGCGCAGAGGGGAAAAGCAACGGACGGAACGCATTGCCACACGGAAAATAGCACACGGAGAGGGAACACATGCGCACAGCAGAAAGAGGACGGTCAGCAGAGAACAAGGCAAACATTAGCGAAAGGTCAGCAGAAAGCAGGGAACGGTCAATGACCGAGCACAAGGTAGGGAGTAAACGGCGAGATCAGCTGCAAGAGAAGCGTGAGATCACGCCAACCAACAGACCGCGTGAGATATCCAACACGGGTTTGAAGGCACGCAGGGAGATCTTGCCGTGTGGACCCGCATCCTCGCCGCGAGTCGAAGGGCAACGGTCGGCTAACGGCTGACGGCTGACGGCTGACGGCTAACGGCTAACGGCTAACGGATAGTCGATCTTCTAGCGACGAGCAAACCTGCAACGGACTTACAGCGATGACGTTAACAAGAGACGTCTTGCCGGCGTTTTGAAGGCCGATGAGCGAGAGCTCCATCTCCTGCAGGAAGAATAGACTGCGACGCGGTGGGGATAGTGGGGAAAGGGGGACGGTTGGATGGTAAGGATGTAAGAACGGTAGTAGGGTAGGCCGATGAGAGAGAGCTCCATCTCCTGCTGGAAGAATAGACTGTGACGCGGTAGAGATTGGGAGACACACACACGGGATAGGCGGTACGCGGGATAGACGGTGAAGCTAGGAGATAAGATCGTGAATAAACGGGACGGATAACTGCGAGATCAACGTGTGCCCGAAGATGCTTTCGAGGATTTCGGAACAGTCAAAACGAAAAGAGTTTGTCGCAAACTGACACACAAGATCGAGGGTCGGACGCGCGGAAGACGGCGAGGTGAGCGTACCTGCGTAACCAATTAAGGACGTATTCCCACAGGGCCATCATCTTGGCGACTCGACTCGACGCAATGCACGAAGTGGCCTAAATTCCTACTTCAAGCGACGCAGCCACGGTGAAGCCTAAGAAGAATGAAGAGGTGGAGCCTACTACAAACGAGGAAGTGAAACCGAGCTACGAGAAGTGACAAGGAGCGACGACCTAAGATGAGTCAAGTGCGTGAAAACGACGGGAGGAACGCGGGCGAGGAATGAAGCTGACCGAAGTTGTTTGACCTAACTGGATTGAGCAAGTGAGAAACACAAAAAATCTTATAAGGTACCTATTAATTTTGTAAACGATATTACACGTCGATATGGCCGAGATGGTCTAAGGCGCAGGATTAAGGTTCCTGTCCGAAAGGGCGTGGGTTCAAATCCCACTGTCGACACTTTTCTTCCCGTTCCCTTCTCGTCAGGCAACTGACCTGTCGCATCAATCTTCATCAGCCAGTGGACGTGACGGGCGGGGTCTGTGTGGTGCCTGTGACGTGCCACCGCCCAACCTCAAAACAAACACTACCTCCGGCTGACACCATCCGAACCGAACCACACCTCCCGAACCAGGCCTTGGGTTTGCACTGAACCACTGATGCGTCCCTCTTGCATCTGTCAGTGGTGTCAAGTCAACCAGGCATTGGGGTTGCATTTTTACAAACTGCTGCTTTTAGCTTTTCTACATTCTAGTTCCTGCTTCCTTCCAAAATTGATGCCAGTGCCTGAAACGAGTCCCAGGAAGTCTAGTGCCTATCCCTGCGGTTGTTCATCCCGCCGATTCTGGCTGCTGATTTCACTCACCTGGAAGTAGAACTGCACCTTTTATTCCACATTGCGGAACTCTTAGCTCAGAAATTGACTTGCGATGGCCAGTCAGCCATCGCAGGGAGCGGATCCTTCCGCTGCTGCTGCTAATGCTGCCGCTGCGAGTGCTGCTTCTCAGCAGCATCAGGGAGGAGCACACGCGCAGCAGGTGGCTGGTTACCAGCAGGCAATGCACATGATGCACATGCAGGGAGGACACGTGGCGAACGCTGGTGCAATGCCGCAGGGATACCCTCAACAGGTGCGCGGCTGACTTCTGCTTTTGTAGCTTAATCTTTCCGAGTCAATATATTGTTTTGGCCTCCAAGATTATATTTTTTTTTCCCGTGGAACTTGATCGAGAATTCGTTTCATCGAATCTGGCAGCCATTCGGAGAGTCGTTTCCTGAAATGCTTGCGATCGCGATTGCAATCAGAACGATGAGATAATACTACATAAGGGCTGACCCGGTGCTCTGACATTAATTTATCGGATCATTATACTTCCCATTAATTTTCACGTGCAAACTTAAATTATTGCACTTGTTTTTTGTTAATGTTTTGCAGATGCCTGGATCGTATCCGATGTACGCCATGGGTCCCTCGGGGCCGGTCATGGTCAACCCTCAGATGTACGCCGCTTACATGCAGAACATGCAGAACATGCAGAACGTGCAACACATGCAAGCAGCTCAAGCTGCCGCCGCCGCCGCTGCCGCCGCTGGTGCCGCCCAGAAACCCGGCGCATCAGCCGCAGCAGATGGTGCTTCGGAAGGAGGTTCGGCAGCAGCAGGTAAAGCTGCAGCAGGAGGAGGCATTGACGCGTTTGCGAGTCTGCTGGGCAGCACGGATCGTGCTCTGCTGGCGAAAGCCGGGGAGGCTGCAGCGCAGAAGATGCACGTGAAGGGCTTTAAGGGGCAGGGAGAGACGGACCAGGGAGCGACGGGGGAAACCGTGCCACAGCAACAGCAGCAGCAACAGCAACAGCAGCAGCAGCAGCAGCAGCAGCAGCAGCAGCAGCAGCAGCAGCAGCAGCAGCAGCAGCAGCAGCAGCAGCAGCAGCAGCAGCAGCAGCAGCAGCAACAACACCAGCAGCAGCAGTACCAGCAACAGCAGTACCACCAGCAGCAATACCAGCAGCAGCAGAAGCAGCAGCAGCAGCACCAGCAGCAGCAGTACCAGCAACATCAGTACCATCAGCAGCAGTACCAGCAGCAGCAGCAGTATCAGCAGCAACAGCAGCAGGAAGGAGGTCAACCTCTCTCCCCTGGCGCCTCAGCCCCCGCACCAGTAGCATCAGTACCCCCGGGAATGCCATCAGGGATGCCGCAATACCCCCAGTATGCCTATTATCCTGGAGGAATGCCCTGGTGGCCTCCAGGTGCTGTTCCAGGTGCCGTGCCTGGCGCTGCTCCTGGCTCAGTCCCCGGTGGTACTTCAGGTGCCGCCCCAGGTGTAATCCCAAGTGCGGGCCTTGTCGCTGCTTCAGGTGTAACTCCAGGCGCAGTCCCAGGAGCAGTGCCAGGAGGAGGTGCAGGAGAGGCGGGTGGCGGAGCGAAGGAAGCAACCGCAACACCAGGAGCAGCAGCGGTGACGGCGGCAGCAGCACCTGAAGCACCAGCAGCCAAGAAACCAGCTGCTGCGCCTGCAGTAGTTGTTCTTCAGCCTCGTAACCTTGCTGCCCCCATCCCACTGTCGCTCTTTGGGGAGGAGGAGGAACCGGAGGAAGAGGAGGTGAAGGAGGAGGAGAGCAAGCAGGAGGGCGAAGAATCAGCAGCAGCAGAATCAACGGCAGCTGCAGAGATGGTAGCAGCGGCGCCAGGAGCACCAGCAGCAGCATCGTCCCTCGAAGCTGACTATGAGGAGGATGATGATTTCGGTGACTTCTCATCCGTTCCATCTTCTACCGCAGCCCCCACTGCCTCTACTGAGTCTGCTGCTTCATCCGAACCTGCTGCTTCGATTGTCGCTCCTACCGCTGCTGGTTCTGCTGCTTCCGCTGCTCTGGTGCCTTCAGCAGCAGCTGTATCTTCCACTGCATCAGCTGCAGCGGCAGGGATAGGGACAGCAGAGGAGGACGACGAGTGGGGGGATTTCTCAGATTCTTTCGCTCCGGCTCCTGCTGCTCCTGCTGCTCCTGCTGCTCCTGCTGCTCCTGCTGCCCAGGTGAATCCCTCTCTGACACAAATTTCACAGGCGAATATTCCCCAGGCGGATGCTCCTCATAATCTCGCTTCCACTGTACCTGCTCCGGGTTCCTCTGCTGCTGCTCTGTCCCACCCTGCTCCTGTCCCTTCTACCTCGTCCTTCCTCGGTCCTATATCCCTTGCCGGCTTTCGAACCACAGCACCGGCCCCAGCAGCAGCGGAAGCAGCAGCAGCACCAGTGGCAGCGGCAGGTGGGGTTGGACCAGTGGAGCAGCAGCAGCAGCAGGATCAAGAGCAAGAGGATGATGACTTTGCTGACTTTGTCTCCAGTGGGGAGACAGACGCACCCAAGGCAACACAGGCATCTGGGACTCAGGCAGCTGGGGACCTTTACTCCTTTGGCACCGGGCTGTCTACTGCCTTTGCCTCTGCTGCTGCTGCAGCACCCACACCCGCACCTCCTACAACTCCTGCACCTGCACCCGTACCTGCACTCTTTTCTTCACCAGTGCCAGCAGCCATGGCATTCGACCCTGATGACGACTTTGGTGATTTCTCCTCCTCCCCAGCAGTCCCCTCTGCCGCCTTCGCCCCTGCAGTCCCTGCACCTGCACCTGCACCCGCTGCAGCATCTGGTTTGGGCATGGCAGCAGCTGCCTCCCCCTTCCCTCCCTCCCATGACTCAACACCCCAGCTCTCTGCTGCTGGCTTTGGAGCCTTTGCACCACCTCCTGGCGCGCCTGCTGCTGCTCCTGCTGCTCCTCCTCCTGCTTTCGCTCCTCCTGCTGCTGCCCCCACAGCAGCTCCAAGCAAGGAGATCTCATTTGATAATGATGACGACGATGACGACGATTTCGGGGATTTCGCAGGGAGCGTTGCTGTGGGTGGGAGTGCAGGCAGCGGGAGGGGGGATACTGTTGCTACGGGTACAATCTCCGCTTCCCCGGAGTTTGTGGGGGTAGACCTCAGCAGCACTGCGGTTACCCCTGATCCTTCGCTTCGCCTGGATGAGTCGGGTGCAGCGAATCCAGTGCTGGTGCCGAGTAATTCAGTGGCGGCAGCAGCAGAGACAGCAGCTCTAGCAGCAGCCATGTCCGAAACCCATGCTGCTGCTGCTGTTGCTGCTGGTGGTGCTGCTGGGACTGATGGCGGCGTGGCTGCTGTTGGTGTTGCTGCTGGTCCGATCCCTCTCTCTCTCTTCGGGGATGACGTGGTGGTTGCTGAGCTGGAGAACGCTGAGCTGTCACTCGGGCCGTTCCCGTCCACTGGAAGCAGCAAGGCAGCGGACCAGGCTTCAGGCACAGGCGCAGGCACAGGCTCGGGCACAGGCACAGGCACAGGCTCGGGCACAGGCTCGGGCACAGGCTCGGGCATGGGTGCAAGTGCAGGTGTAGGCAAGGACACATCTACCACCGCCACTGGTGCCACTGCTCCTGCTGGTACTGGGAAATCCGGGAACTTTATGGATCTGCTCTCGTCCCTCTATGGAAGCTCGTCCGCAGGCACTGCAGCAGGCGCAGGAGCAGTAGGAGCTGCAGGGGGAGGAGGAGGAGCAGGAGCAGGAGGGAGGCTGGAAGGGGCCCGGTTGGGTCAAACTTTCTCTACCGGACGAGTGCCTCTGGCAATGGCGTCTGCTGCTGGGTATGGCGGTTTGTTCGGCCTACTATCCCCAGGAACCCCACCTACCGATGTGCCTCTAAGGGGTTCCATGAGTGAGCAGGTGGGGCAGAGAGGGCGGGGAGGGGGAGGGGTGGGGGGGTCGCTGTCAGGGGAGAGTGGGGAAGGGTGGGAGGAGCAAGGCGACGGGTTAGCGGGCGGCACGGGCTTGTCCTTTGCGGCGGTGGACGGCGGGGGTAGTGGCACCGGTGGTGGTGGCGCCGATGGTAGCGGTGCAGGTGCTTCAGGTGCTTCAGGAGGGCCTTCAGGTGCTTCAGGTGGTGCCTCAGGTGCTTCAGGTGCATCCTATCGCAGCAGTGGCCTGCCAGGGGGCGGGCTACAGGGCCTGGCAGCAGACCACGTGCTCCCCATAGTCGGGGCTCAACTGGGGGAGGGCGTATTCACTGCCAGCATCACCGCCGCCCTAGAGTCCGTCCTTCAGCCCACAGTGATCCGCCTCCCAAACGAAACCTCCCAGCAGCGGTGGGAGGAGACGCTACAGGAGCTGGCAGAAGGGGCGGAGAGTGTTGCTCGGAATGAGTTTGGGCGGCTGAGTGGGGCGCTGGTGAGGGAGGGGAGGATGGAGGAGGCGTATGCGTGCCGCCTGCATGCTGCAGCGGTGCAGCTGCTGCCCGACTGCCAGGGACAGTACTCCATGGCTCTGGGGGATGGACGGGTGGAGGCAGCTGCTGCTGTCAGGGAAGACATTAAGGTCAGTGCCTTCTCTTGCTCTCTCTGCTGCTCTTTCCTCTGCTCTCTCCTCTGCTCTCTCTCCTCTGCTCTCTTTTATGCTATCCATGCTGCAGCGGTGCAGCTGCTGCCAGACTGCCAGGGGCAGTACTCCATGGCTCTGGGGGATGGGCGGGTGGAGGCCGCCGCTGCTGTCAGGGAAGACATAAAGGTCTGTGCCCTCTCTTTCGCCCTCTTGCTCTCTCTATCACGCTATCTCCTCTGCTCTCTCCTTTGCTCGCATGCTGCAGCGGTGCAGCTGCTGCCGGACTGCCAGGGGCAGTACTCCATGGCTCTGGGGTATGGACGAGTGGAGACAGCAGCTGCTGTGAGGGAAGACATCAAGGTCCGCGCTGGCCCTCACTCTCTTTCCTGCTCTTTCCTCTGCCCTTTCCTCTGCTCTCTCCTCTGCTCTCTCCGGTGCTTTCCCTAATGCTATCTCGCATGCTGCAGCGGTGAGGGAAGACATAATACTCTCTTTGGCTCGCTCTCACACCTGGCTCGCCCTCACTGCCATTCCGTCTCGCTCCTTGCTTCTTGCTCCTTGCCCCTTTGTGCCTTGCTCCTCTTGCTGGGCAGATTTCTGAGGGGCCTCAATGCCTGGCTTGCTTTGCTGCCTGGTGTGCTGTCTGTCTCATCTCTTCCTTGCTTCTCAGTGCTTGCTCCTATAGGTGTCTGCAGCGCGTGATCGTGCTGGGCAGATCTATAGGTGCCTAGGATACTTCCTCTTACCTCATCTCTTCCTTGCTGCCCTGTGCTTCTCTTGCAGCGCATGGAGACTGTGTTGGGAAGCCCAGCAGCAGTGGAAGGGTGGAGGGAGAGGAGAATGCAGGCGCTTTCAGCCCCGCCAGTACCCACCGGAGGAGAGGAGATTCAACACGTGGATAAAGAAGCTGACGTGGCAGCAACTGAAGGTGACAAGGATCCAGCTGGTGCTGACGAAGCAGCCACCCAAGATGGCCTGGCAAGCGTGGAAGGCGGGGTGGCAGAACCCGAGTCCCGACCGGAAGGACCCGAAGGCGGTGTGACAGAGACAGGCAATGGCATGTCAGAAGAAGGTGCGTATGTGAAGCAAGCATATGTGCCGGATTTGTTTTTTCTTTGACCATCCAAGGGGGTATGGCAGGCATGGAAGGGAGTGAGGGTGGGGGGACGGGACAAAGAGTGACTGCGGCATGTTGAGCTGAGAGGAAGTAGAGTTCATGAAGAAGCAACTTTCTTTGAATCCGCTTACTCCACTGACTCTGTTGACTCCACTGACTCTGTTGACTCCACTGACTCTGTTGACTCCACTGACTCTGTTGACTCCACTGACTCTGTTGACTCCACTGACTCTGTTGACTCCACTGACTCTGTTGACTCCACTGACTCTGTTGACTCCACTGACTCTGTTGACTCCACTGGCTCTGTTGACTCCACTGACTCTGTTGACTCCACTGACTCTGTTGACTCCACTGACTCTGTTGACTCCACTGACTCTGTTGACTCCACTGACTCTGTTGACTCCACTGACTCTGTTGACTCCACTGACTCTGTTGACTCCACTGACTCTGTTGACTCCACTGACTCTGTTGACTCCACTGACTCTGTTGACTCCACTGACTCTGTTGACTCCACTGGCTCTGTTGACTCCACTGGCTCTGTTGACTCCACTGGCTCTGTTGAATGCGCTGGCTCTGTTGAATGTGCTGGCTCTGTTGACTCTGCTACTCTGATACAGAGAGGCGCGTGCATGGGTTATCTGGCCGCTTCTTGCTCTCGTTCACTCCACTGGCACTGCTGGCACTGCTGACTGTGCTGACTCCATTGGCTCTGTTGACCCCGTTCATTCTGTTGACTTTTTTACTCTGTTCACCCTGTCTGCTACAGCTGGAGCTGCACCTAATCTGTTTGACTTGTTCACTCTGTTCACCCTGTCTGCTACAGCTGGAGCTGCACCTAATCTGTTTGACTTGTTCACTCTGTCTCACCCTGTCTGCTACAGCTCAAGGAGCCCCTGCTACAGCGGAAGCACCACCTGCTACAGCCGAGCCAGCCGAGAGCAAGCCAGGGAGGGATTTGGCCTCTCTGCGGTGGGACGAGCGGTCGGTGGGGGAGATGGGGGAGCTGCTGGGGCGCAGCAAGGGAGACGCTCGAGCTGCTGCGTTCGACGGGGAATTCAAGCAAGCGGAGATCTGTGATCTGGTGAGTGCTGATGGTGAGCAGGGAAGTGGGTGGGGGGGGCATAGGCGGTGGGATGAGCGGTCGGTGGGGGAGATGGGGGAGCTGCTGGGGCGCAGCAAGGGAGACACTCGAGCTGCTGCGTTCGACGGGGAATTCAAGCAAGCGGAGATCTGTGATCTGGTGAGTGCTGATGGTGAGCAGGGAAGTGGGTGGGGGGGGCATAGGCGGTGGGATGAGCGGTCGGTGGGGGAGATGGGGGAGCTGCTGGGGCGCAGCAAGGGAGACGCTCGAGCTGCTGCGTTCGACGGGGAATTCAAGCAAGCGGAGATCTGTGATCTGGTGAGTGCTGATGGTGAGCAGGGAAGTGGGTGGGGGGGGCATAGGCGGTGGGATGAGCGGTCGGTGGGGGAGATGGGGGAGCTGCTGGGGCGCAGCAAGGGAGACGCTTGAGCTGCTGCGTTCGACGGGGAATTCAAGCAAGCGGAGATCTGTGATCTGGTGAGTGCTGATGGTGAGCAGGGAAGTGGGTGGGGGGGGCATAGGCGGTGGGATGAGCGGTCGGTGGGGGAGATGGGGGAGCTGCTGGGGCGCAGCAAGGGAGACGCTCGAGCTGCTGCGTTCGACGGGGAATTCAAGCAAGCGGAGATCTGTGATCTGGTGAGTGCTGATGGTGAGCAGGGAAGTGGGTGGGGGGGGCATAGGCGGTGGGATGAGCGGTCGGTGGGGGAGATGGGGGAGCTGCTGGGGCGCAGCAAGGGGGACGCTCGAGCTGCTGCTTTTGACGGGGAGTTTATGCACGGGGAGATCTGTGATCTGGTAAACAGGGAACAGGGGGGTGGGTGGGAGTGCTGAGGGTAAGCAGGGGACTGGGTGGGGCACTGGTGGAGTTGCTGGGGGTACAGCCGAGGGGATGGCAAGGCTGCTGCTTCCAATGAACGAGCCCAATGAAAACAGGAAGGCACTCTGTCACTTGAACTGAACCTCTGCCAACCTCCCCCGCTCCCCATCGTTGCTCATCCAGACTCTTCCTATCACTCGAAAAAAAACTGTCCTCTGTTTGCATTGAGAAGCTGTCTTCTGCTTCATTCGATGCCAACCTTCCCCCAACCTTCCCCTGATTGCACTTGCTCCTCCTTTCTGCCATCCGTTCCCCTCAGGCCGCCCGGGATTTCACAGCAGCGCTGCTGGTGCACCGAAGGGCCGTCTTCTGGTTGACCTTCTGCCAGCCTTCCCTCCAACCTTCCCACAACTGCTCTTGACTTGATTTATTGATTTCCCCCATGTTGCATCACCATCCTTTCCCCCATGTTGCATAACCATCCTTTCCCCCATGTTGCATAACCATCCTTTCCCCCATGTTGCATAGCCATCCTTTCCCTCAGGCCGCCCGGGATCTCACAGCAGCGCTGCTGGTGCACCGAAGGGCCGTCTTCTGCTTGACCTGACCCTCTTCCAACCTTCCCCCCAACCTTCCCCTGATTGCTCGTGGATCAGTTGATGCGTTCCTCCGTGTCCCCTCCCCACCCCCTCAGGCCGCCCGGGATCTCACAGCAGCGCTGCTGGTGCACCGAAGGGCCGTCTTCTGGTACAACATTCTCTCGGCAATTTCTGCAGCGGAGGCGGCGTCGTTTGTCCGGTTGTGGGGGGCTGTAGCGGCGCGGTGTGCAGATGTGCTAGAGGCGGCAGTGGGCGTGAAGGAAAAGGCTGCGGCTGATGATACTGCAACGCTCTCTGCTCTGCTCGATGCTCCAAAAGGTGAGAGAGTACACCAATAGTATTAGTATACGTAGGTGTGCAGATGTTTTCCTCCCTTATTCTCCCCAAGCTTCAATGCTTTCATGCTTTCAACATCTGCCGACCCCTAATGCACTTTGCCTGCTCTTTTCTTGCCTTCTCTCCTGCTTCTCCCTTCAGCACGTGACTATTTCGCAGCCATCACCCAGACCTATGGTGTGCTTGTAGTCATCGCTGCTTGTGCCCAGCTGCACCGACCCTGGCTCTCCGTCAGGCTCGGCACAGGCTCAGCAGGACCACTGTCAGGTTCGGGTGAATCCGGCAGCTTGGCAGCGGGGGGTTCTGGGGAGGGGGAGCAAGGGGGAGGGGATGGGGAGGGGGATATTCTATGGGCGCACCTGCTCAGGGGGCAGGCAGCATGGCAGAATGGAGGGCTGGAAGCAGTGGCCAATGAGGTGCTGCCACGTGTCATGGTGCCGCTGTCTTGGTCGGATGTGGAGAAGGTGCTGGAGGGTGCTGAGCTGGCAGCGGTGCAACGGGCTGCAGAGCTGGCGCTGGAAGGGCGGCAGAGGCACATGGGGCTCGTGGGAGGGTCAGGGACTCTGCTATGTGCTCTCACCCGGCTGCCCATCTTCGCCTTCACTTGTAAGCCTCTCTTTCACATCTCGGTCGGCCCTTTTCTTGCAAATGGTTCTGTTCCAGTTCTGATTTTTAGTCTACTGTAGATATGCAGGGGGGAAGTTGTTTCAATTTGTGCTTTCAATTTGTTTGAATCAACATTGTCAATGTGTCTTGGCTTATCTATGACGATTGTTCATCGTTGTTCCTCTTAGGTACGTTCTGTCGGTGTTGTTGTTTTAATTATTGTTTGTTTACCCTTGCCGTATGCAGCGGTGGCAGCAGTGGAGTGGTATGGCCATCGATACTTGCTTCCTGTGGCCAACTTCTGGGCAAACCACATTTCAAATGCCAGCCCGTTGATGCTTGTTGCTAGCTAAAGAGTCGTGTATTGAGATTTGCAATCTATAGCTAGACGCTGCACTACAAGCAAAAGTTTATATTTGTTTCTGCAGTTTATATTGAGTGTCAGCACGCCTCCCACAGCGTCGCTACAACTGCGGAGGGTGAGTTGTAGTTGAGTCACTGTTTACTGGGTTGAGCTTTGGCGTGAGTTGTCTGGCATTCTACAGCTACGGCCAACTGGCTAAGTTCTCCTTTACATTTTCCAGCAATCTGGGGAAAAACGTGTAGCCACAAGCTCTGATGGGCGACAAACTTTTGCCTTTTCCCGAACTTACTCGTGATATACACCTCGGGAGTAGCTGTTGCCACGTTTAATTAAATCAACCTCCACTAGAATGTGTGAAAACAGATAAGGATCCGAGCAAAACAACTTTATTACCCTAAACTGTCCCACTTACAAACCAGTACCACGTTTGGCGTCGCACGAACGATCTACACCAGGAGTCCGCAAGTGTCTCTGCGACGCAGGAACGAGTGGGCGACTGTGAGTGTAATTCGCACGATCAGTGCGTGTGCGTGTCTGGTGTGGTGCGGTGTCGTGGACAGTTGAAAGTAACCGTTTTGCCGTGCCACCACCATCATGCCATTTCAGGCACCAAAGCACGCACCGTTCTCTTGATTGCTGCCACCGACCAGAACAGTGTCTTGTAGTGCAACTGCATATGGTTCGGTTCATTTGCGGTTCGAAGGGTGTCCCAGTTCCAGTCCGACAATATCCTGGTAGGGAAGCAGCGTCCTCCCATCACGACCTACCCAACTCCACGCCATCCTACTCGCCCAAACCAACCCACTATTAACAGGCCTATTCACCCACGGATACAGTACCAACCCATTTTTCACGACCTGAAATTCACAGCAACTGCCAGAAGCTAAGGGAGTCTATTACGTAAAAACAAGCACCAACCGCATTTGGGTACCCGCGTACTCACTACTGAGGGAGCTGTTATTGCAGGAGGCACACGACAGGATTACCTCGGGCCACTTCGGGGTCGAAAAAACGCGACAGCTACTGCAGCGGTATTACTACTGGCCGGAGCTGTTGACCGACGTACAGCATCACGTGGGCGTTGTGTCCTACGTGTCAGGTGATGAAGAGCTCGCGAAAGAGAAAGGCGGGCCAATTGAAGCCGATTCCACCACCCGAGCGCGCCTGGCAACAAGTTACCATGGATTTCGTCACGTGGTTACCTTCGAACCCTGGGGGTAACGACGCGGTTATGGTCGTCGTTGACAGACTGACGAAAATGGCTCACTTCGCTGCGTGCAAGAAATCGATCTCAGCCGAAGAAGCCGCTCGCCTGTTCATCGCAACCGTCGTTCGACTGCACGGGATACCAGCCGCGATAATCAGCGACCGCAACACGAAGTTTACCAGCAACTTCTGGAAGAACCGCTGGGAGCAATTCGGGACCAGGCTACAGCTCAGTTCATCGTACCACCTCGAGACCGACGGTCAAACGGAGCGGACCAATCAGACGATGGAGCAGTTGATTCGGGCCACGTGCGACGACCCGACAACTTGGGAGCAGCAACTGCCGCTGATCGAGTTCGCCTACAACAACGCCACGTCAGCGACGACGCAGCAGTCCCCGTTTTACCTGAACTACAGGCAAAACCGAACAGTGCCCATGGCGCCGAGTCCAGACAACCCAACGCCACGAGCATAGCAATTCGCCGAGATTCTGCAAACTGCCCGCACCAGAGCCGCAGAAGCAATTAAAAAAGCCAACGGCATCGCTAAACGCAACGCTGACCGCCACCGCCGCCCAATCACGTACCAGTCAGGGGATTACGTAGTGCTCGACACACAGAACTTAAGACTGCCCGTCGTACTTTAGTGTAAGGAATTTTCTCGCTATTCCTTACCGCGACCGTCTACATCGCGTACAACAGCAGCCGTTGTCCGCCCGTTACTGCTAACGGGGCTTCGCCAACTTCGCGCGCATTGTTTCACCAAACCGCACACTGCTGGAGCAGCCGAGTCGGCCTATGCTTCGGGACTAGCCCGAACCTCGCGCCAGCGTAGCACTAGCTAGCTCGCACGCACCGCGTTACCGTTTTCACATTTTCGCGTATAAGTATTCGCTCATGCCTTCGCTCATATTTTGTACTCATTGAACACTCTAGTGCAATCCTTGCCACCTCAATTCATTGCACCCGTAACAGCTAGTCCGTTCCGTTCTTGGGGCATGGAACTTACCGTTGCAGAAGACAAATTGCTCATTTGGGGCCCTTTGGCGATGAATACTGGTGGTCAGGAGGGTTCGCGAAGTACAGACGACACTGTTGCGAAACCTAACCAAGTTAGAACACAACACTCAGAGCCATTGCTCAGTACTTGACTGACTGAAGCATCTACAACCATTTCCTAGGTCACTAGAATTATTCCTTAGTTTCTGGTAAAATTATTGCCAGCTTTTTCCTTGAGGACTTGACTGCCCCATTATTTGTTGCAGTAAAGCGCTTTCAGGACGACAGTTCCTATACTTGCGAGCAATCCTGTCGCTTCTTTTCCAGATTGTACGGACTGACAGTGGTTTCGATGATACTCGTCCATATTAACTAATACACGGAACGCGTTCGCAACGCCTCGTAATAGTAGTCGTGAGAGGCTCCCTCCTGTATTAAGTCTTACTGCTAGCGAGTAAGCATAACCTCCTGAGGTCCTATGCATGGAGTAGCAGCAGCAGAGAAATGGGAATGTAGGCGACCTTAAATTCGTATTTCTCTCTCTCTCTCTCTCTCTCTCTCTCTCTCTCTCTCTCTCTCTCTCTCTCTCTCTCTCTCTCTCTCTCTCTCTCTCCTTCATGGTTTGAAAGCCGAATGCTGGCCAATGGTCCAATAGCAGCGCAGCCGCCGCGTCAGATTATTATACGCGAAGAAAAATGGGTTGTCTCGTGTCGACATTAGGTATGTACGCCAAACCCCTCTGTCTCAAGCTCTCAGACACTCAAAGCAACGACTCGGCAGAATGCTATACAAAATGGTTGTTGTCTAGGATCGTCTGGTCGCAAGGCTTCGCTCGATCGGAAACAATCCTGTTTATCGGCAACTCAGGTTTTGCCCGAAACATAAAAATATATTCTATGCATAAAAAAACCAAGTTTATACTTTTTTTTTCATTCTCAGAAATCCGTCGTAATGCCGCGTACTCACATAAGAGTATTGAGTCTAAGTCGGCATTAGCCGTGTCTTGAATATGTTTTTTTTTATGTTTTTTTTACGCGGATGGGCGTCGCGGACTCAAGTGCAATGATAACCTTAACACCTCCCCTCCCCGGTTCCCTTCTCTTGTAATACCTTCGATTTTCCCGTTCCACCGTCCCTTTTCCATCAGACCACGGAGGAACAAGCACAACAATCACAAATAGCGGCGCCAGCAAGAGCGGCTCTAACAGCCACAACAAATCCTCTTTCCAAACCGCGACCTCTCAAATCTCCGACAAATTTGTGTCGGCCGACAGTTCAGGCACGAACCTAAGTGCCGGCGGCAGTGCCGGCGCCATTCCCAACCCTGCGAACCTCGTCCCGAGCTCCCTGCGACAGTTTTCGTTCGCCGGACTCGAGTCTGCGACGAGCAAGTTCCATCGGCGAAACTGCATTGGCGAAGGCGGGTTTGGGATCGTGTATCGGGGGGTGCTTCAGCCGGGGCCGAATGGGCTTGGCCCGGAGCCGACGGAGGTGGCGATAAAGAGAATGCGCGAGGCGAGCGATCGGTACACGGAAGAGTTTCTGGTGCGTGCGAGGTTTTTTTTCTTGTTGTTTTTCTTTTTTGGGCGTGCGTTTGTGCGTGCGAGGTTCTTATTTTATTTTTTTACGGGCGCATGTATGAATGGTGTGATTCCATCTTTCCGACTTCACTCTCCCACACTAAGCCAATCCCCTCGATTGCATGAAGAGGCGTTTGTATCGAGGTGGCTTTCCCACCCACCCCACACCCTGTGCGTCTGCACGGCTTCTGCATGGCCTCTACATATCCCCACCCCCATACAACCCACCACCCTCCCAACTCTTGCAGAATGAGATGATAGTGCTGGGGCGGCTGTCCCACTCCCATGGCTACTGCATGGATCGCATCCAACCCACCCATCTTCCCAACTCCACTCCTCCAACCCTTCTCAATCCCTCTCATGCAGAAAGAGGTGATCGTGCTGGGACGGCTATCCCATCCCCATCTTGTGCGTCTGCACGGTTACTGCATGGAGCGAGACGAAGCTCTGCTCGTGTATGAGTTCATGACAGGGGGGTGTTTGCACCGCGCGCTATCGGACAGTGAGTGGGGGAATGCTGGCTGGCAGGCAGCGAGGGTGGAACCAGGGTAAGGTAGCTACTCGTGCAGGGTAGAGTCAGCAATTGCTCCTCTGGGCGCTATCAGACAGTGAGTGGGGTGTTGGGGGTGGATAGCCACCAATTTACAGTAGACTCAGATCTCTCCTCTCTCTGCTCGTGTACGAGTTCATGACAGAGAGCTGCTTGCACCGCGCTCTACTGGACAGCGAGTGGGGTGGTGGGAACAGGGAGTGAGTGGGGTGCTACGGGTGGTACACCACCAGATTAGAGTGGACTCAGCACTCTCGTCGCTCTGCTCGTGTACGAGTTCATGAGGGGAGGAGGGGGAGGATTTTCCTGCACTGCGCGCTATCGGACAGTGAGTGTTAGGCAGGCGGTAAGTGGGGTGGTGACAAGCAGATAGCTGCTTGTGTGGAGCACGAATGTCTCAGCTCTCTCCACTCAGCTCTCTCCCCTCTCTGCTCGTGTGCGAGTTCGTGACGGGGGGCTGCTTGCACCTCTCTGCTCTCACCCTCCTCTCTGCGTTTCTGCTCTCTCTACCTTTCCTGCTGCCCTCCCTCTCTGCCTGCCCTCTACTCCCGTTTCCCCAACGTCCCGCCTTCCCATTCCTCAATACAGGCTCTATGACCCCTCTTTCCCCGCCTCCCGCCCTCCCTCCACCCACCAGGTGCGAGCGGAGAGCTCTTCTTCAGCTGGAACATGCGCTTCCCTCCCACTCAGTACTCTGCGCGTCTTCCTCCCGAATACCTCAACCCCCCCCTCCCTCCCCCCTCCCTCCCCCTCTTTCCCCGCCTCCCGCCCTCCCACCACCCACCAGGTGCGAGCGGAGAGCTGTTCTTCAGCTGGAACATGCGACTCAAGGTGGCGGTGCAGGTGGCAGAGGCGCTGGCGTACATGCACGGACTCAACTTCATTCACCGCGACCTGAAAGCGGCTAACGTGCTGCTGTCACCGGTAAGGGCAAGGATGGGAAACGGGAGGTGGGTGGCTTGGGGAGGCTGGGGAAGGCAGCGGTGCAGGTAGCATGAGTGCATGCATGGCAGGAAAGGAAAGGAGGCCGTGGCGTACATGCATGGACTCAACTTGATTCATCCACGGCGACTTGAAAGCAGCCAACGTGCTGCTGTCGCCTGTGAGTGCATGGGAGGGGGGCGAGGCAGCAGTGCTAGTAGCAGAGGTAACAATCGAGCAGTGCTGCTCCGGCCTGTGAGTGTTGGGGAGAGAAGGTAGCAGAGTAAAGAAGATACCGAAGGCAGTGATTCAACAACCCCCCCTCTTGCCCTCTACATCCAATCTGCCCCCTCCCCCTCCCCCCAATTCTTTCCACTCGTCCCTTTCCCACCACCAACGCCACAGGAGTACGATGCGAAGCTGGCAGAATTTGGCATGGCGCGCGTGGGGCCGGAAAACTTTGTGGTATCTATACAAAGAACAGTCCTCATCCTTCGAAATATTCCCACTCGTTCCTTCCCCACCAACGCCGCAGGACTACGATGCGAAGCTGACAGACTTTGGGATGGTGCGAGTGGGGCCGGAGGGGCAGCTGGAGTCGATTGTGTCAACTCGCATCATGGGCACAGAGGGGTACATCGACCCCACTTACATGGAGACAGGTGTGTGTCTATATAGGGGACTGTGACTATGTGTGAATGGGATGTATACGTGTTTTGACTCACATCTTGGGGACAGAGGGGTACATCGACCCCACTTACATGGAGACAGGCGTGTGTTTATATAAGGGACTGTGACTATGACTGGGACTGGGACTGTGACTATGTGTGAATATATGGGGTATATGTGTATCAACCCGCATCATGGGCACAGAGGGGTACATCGACCCGACTTGCATGGAGACAGGTGTGTGGAGGGGATTTTGAGAGGCATACACAGGATATGGGTGGGATTATGAGGGAAGGGGGTGGTAACAGATGAGCTAGAGTCAAATTTGTCAACCTGCATTATGGGGACTGAGGGGAACATGGACCCCAGTTACATGGAGTCAGGTGTGTGTTTATATAAGGGACTGTGACTATGACTGGGACTGGGACTGTGACTATGTGTGAATATATGGGGCATATGTGTATCAACCCGCATCATGAGCACAGAGGGGTACATGGACCCGACTTGCATGGAGTCAGGTGTGTGTTTATATATGGGGGACTGTGACTGACTGGCATGCATACTCGCATTGTGGGGGCCTGGGAATACATGGACCCCAGTTACATGGAGACAGGTGTGTGTAAGGGATTCCGAGTAGCATACACAGGACAGGGCGTGGGTGGGGTTATAGGGCCAGGCTCAGCTGGGTGGATTGTTTCAACTTGCATCATGGGGACTGAGGGGTACACGGACCCCACTTACATGGAGACAGGTGTGTGTGCACATTGGGTACTGTGACAGGGTCTATGAATTTGAATATCTGTGTATATGGGGTATATGTCGACCAGCATTATCAGGACTGAGGGGTACATCGACCCGACTTACATGGAGAGAGACAGGTACTCCAATGAATTGAGTCGACTCAAAACTAGGTTTTGTTGTGAGACAAGAATTCTAGGGGTTTTACTGAGAATTCAGGAAATCCATGGATTTTAGAGAGGATACGCATGTTACAGGGGGGAAAGCATGAGAGGGAGAGGCATGATCGGTGGGTGGGTGAACACGAATGGCTGGGATTAGGGTTTCCTTGTGGGGCAGCTACAACGTCCCGGAGTGGTGTTAGTGTGCGCACATTATTGGCCAGGATCAGGGTTTCCTGTGGAGCAACTAGAGGAGCCAACAGTGTGGGCTCCAGTTGACCCAGTTTATCAGGGGCAGATAGGCGCAATGCATGTATCGCCCAGTGTGACCAGTTGAACCCCACTCTGATCCCCACTCCCTTTCTCGACCCTTATCCGCCCTTCCCCTCTCTCCATCCTCTATTTTCCAGGTCACCTGGGAGCCAAGAGCGACGTCTACTCCTTTGGTGTTCTCCTGCTAGAGCTGGTAACCGGCAGGAGAGTGGTGGACGAGGGGAGCAAGATGGTCACCGAGTGCAGAACTCGCCTCTCCGATCTCTCACTTAAAGCCGCAGAATATGTCGATCCCCATCTTGGTAACCAGTACCCGGAGCTGGGCGCCCGAACCTTGGCGACTCTGGCTCGGCATTGCGTGGCAGAGGCTCGGTCGAGCCGGCCGGACATTGGGAGCGTATTGGAAAAGCTGAAGTTATTGGTTGAGGCGTGTGCAAATGCTGAAGCGAAAGCGGCAGCTAAAGCTGCAGCGTTGGAGGCAGGGGAATCAGGGTCGGCTGAAAGGGGGGATACGGAGGTGAATGGGGGTGAAGAGGGGTCGTCAGCAGCTGTGGCACCAGTACAGGTTACTGGTTGATTTACTTCCTGACAATGTAGATTTATCTCTTGTAAAATAGCCGAACAGCAACACTTCGAAATTAGGGCGAGATTGAAGTAGGACGTCACATACAGGATATGGGTGATCATGCTGCTGTAGGGTGCACAGTTACCCAACTTAAGTCATTGGCCATAAGAGAAGAATCTCGTGTCTGATGTAATTCTATCTTTTTGAAATTGTGATGAGTTGTTAAATTGGACCTCTTATGGCCATTTTTTCAACCTTCAGACATGTGAGCAGTCACGGTTGTAGAATGGATTAGAGTGAAACCAGGAGCATTCCACAAGCGAGGATGTGAAACCAGCTTCTGCAAGTGAATTTGCTTACAGTACAGGCACGACTGGGGGGACGTTACTTTCACGCGCACGTCCAGTGGGTGTGTCCAATCTGCCTGTGATGTGCCAAGCCATGCCTGCTGCCACCAAGCAGGCGGCGTTCGCTCACTTAGTATGGTGCAAGCAAGTTGAACTACACACGATGCTTAACCCCTGCGCGCGAAATTGCCCTGCCCATAGTTGAAAGTCTGCCCACGTGATTTTTTTCCCGGGCAGTTGCACCCTGCTTATAAACACATGTGCCACTTGTGTGTGGGTGGCCACTTGACAAAAACTACACATGTGCATAGTGACAAGAGACGTTGCCCCAGGGTATTCCTGTATTTAGGCCAGGGACAGGCTTCGCGAAAAAAGTGGCGGACGGGGTTTTGACGTCGCGCACAATTTCGCCCGTGACTGTACGCCACGTCGATGCAGCTCATCGTGCACCAAACGCACACACCTCGCCCCAGATTCGCCACGTGTACATTGCCGAGGTTGGATATAAACCCAAGAATGTCCACATAGTGCAGTTATGCACACGTCACCCGCTGTGGTGTTTGTTACCTGTGCGAGTAACAAACACGATTCTGGAAACATTCACTCCGCGAAGGAGTGTTACATGTGCAAATGTGGGCAACATTCACTCGCATGAATGTTGCCCCATCACATTACGGCCCTGCGAAGAAACCCACTTGACATTGAGCACTTTGAGTTGGGAATAAATTGACAAGCAAAATCGGCAGTCACACAGACTGGTGCATTAGTTAAGAAGCTAAACATGCCTCGCCTATTTCGCCGCTCGCAGGTTCCAGTACATATCAAGAGGGCAATCTGTACCCAGCATGTCAGCAACCCCTGCATACGCCAGGTCGACCTGGCGCGGCGGTGCTTTGCGCGTTTCGGCATCCGTCCCGATCGCTCGACTGTTGGCCGCATGCTCAAAGGAGCCGACCGTTGGACCGCCGTCACCTCCAATGACAACACCGTCCGCGTGCGTGGCGGTGCATACCCTCAGCTGGAGCAGGCTATGATGCGCTGGATCCGTAACGCCAGACCCGCAGATGTTCCCTCACCCTGATGACGATTCGCGACCACGTTGCAACCTTCGCCCGTGGCATGGACCTTCCCGACACCTTCCGCTGCTCCGTTGGGTGGGTTCGCCGTGCCATGCGGCGCAACGACATTCGGTGCCGCAGCGCAGTCGGAGAGGCCGCCGACCAGGACCACGCCGCGGTCCGTACATGCCAGGAGCAGCTCCCGCAACTCTTGATGTACCTCTCTGTCCGTCCGCGCGATGTGTATAATTTCGACGAGACCGTCTTGTATTTGTTGGTCTTACCTCGCAAGACCTACGGAGCTGCGCGCGTGGCGGGGCGCAAGTTTGCGAAGGAGCGCCTCACCGTCGGGTTGCTCGTAATTGCGGACGGTAGCCACGCATTCCGTCCGTTGGTCATCCACAAGGCTAAGCGGCCGCGTGACTTTCTGCCCGATTACGACCCTAAGGAGCTGTGCTACTGGCGTCACAACGCTAAAGGCTGGATGATGGCGTCGGTAAGCATTCCCGGTTATCTTCACCGTCCTTTTTTTTTTAAGGCTTGTTTTTGTTTGTATGGCCCATATGATTCGGATATCATGATACTAACGCGGTTTTCCTTTTTCGTCCGTTGTCTTCACCTTGCAGCTATTCACATACTTTATTGGACACTCAACGCCGCCATGGTGGCAGAGGACCGCCAGATTGTCATCCTTTTGGACAATGCTAGCAGCCACGTCATCCGGGGTGACGACGCCACGTCGGAAGACCTTTTCGGCTTCTAGACTCGCGCCCTCGGTAACATCAGGCTCGTCTTCCTGTCGCCTAACACTACCGCCTTCACGCAGCCGCTCGATCAGGGTCTGATCGCAACGATGAAGTCGCGCTACCGCCAGTTCTGGCTCGCTGCGGTCACGGCTCTGTGGCAGGATGCGGGCGCCACGACCGCCATGGCGCGCTACCGGCCGAATATGCGCGACGTCATCGCCCGGCTCAGTGAAGCGTGGATGAGTATATCGTGCGCACGATCCAGCGTTGCTGGTGGCTGTCAGAATGTTATATTGCTTACATTGTGTAGGCTATAGTGGGGTAGCTCATAAGGGGTACAACCCAATTAGGGTTAGTACTTGTACCCAACTGTTTCATAGTTCATTCATTCTCGTTCATTCTTCTGACATGGTATCAGAGCAGGTCCTTCGCTAGGACCGGTTTTTTTTTAGGGCCCACCACAGAGCTGCCCCACGAACTGCCCCACGAACCGCCCCTAGCAGCTAGTCGCGCTGCCCCTAGCAGCCCACAATCCGCCCGCCCCTCTCCTCACGGCCCTCGAGCCGCCCCCCTGCAGCCAACGCGTCGCCCCCTAGCGACCCGCCAGCCGCCCCTGCCGCCCGCGCGCCGCCCACCAGCGGCCCGCCAGCCGCCTCTGCAGCCCGCAAGCCGCCCGCTAGCAGCTCGCCCGCCGCCCCTACTGCCCTCGCGCAGCCCGCGATCGGCCCGCCAACTGCCTCTCCCGCCCGCGCGCCGCTTGCTATAGGCCCGCCAGCCGCCCCCCCCCGCCGCCCGCGCGCCGCCTGCTATCGGCCCGCCAGCCGCCCCTGCCGCCCGCGCGCCGCCCGCTATCGGCCCGCCCGCCGCCCCCGCCGCCCGCAAGCCGCCTGCTAACGGCCCGACAGCCGCCCCTGCCGCCCGCGCGCTGCCTGCTATCAGCCCGCCCGCCGCCCCCGCCGCCCGCGTGCCGCTTGCTAACGGCCCGCCAGCCGCCTCTGCCGCCCGCGCGCCGCCCGCTATCGGCTCGCCCGCTGCCCCTGCCGCTCGCGCGCCCCCTGCTCGCGGCCCGCCAGCCGCCCCTGCCGCCTACGCGCCGCCCTCTATCGGCCCGCCAACCGCCCCTGCCGCCTGTGCGCCGCCCGCTAGTGGCCTGCCAGCAGCCTCTGCCGCCCGCGAGCCGCCCGCTCTCGGCCCGCCAGCTACCCCTGCCGCCCGCGCGCCACCCGCTTAAGGCCCGCTTGCCGCCCCCTGCAGCCCGCGCGTCGCCTCTTGCTTCCGGTGCGCTGCCCCTTGCAGTCTGCGCACTGCCTTCTCGCAGCCCGCTCGCTCCCCCCCTCTACGCTGCCAGGCTTCTGCCCGCCCTGCGTGCTGCGCCGCTATGGCTTCTCTTCGCGTTCTTGCGTTCGATCATGAGGGCCGCCCGATCCAGTTTGACACGTGGCTTGACGACCTGCAGCAGTACCTCTTGAGCGACTCTAGGGACAGCGTTTCGTTGTTTGACCACACGTCTGGTGCTGTCCTGCCCCTCCCGCCACAGCTGACAGTGTGACTCGCTCACAGTGGCTTACTCGTGACGCTGCTGCTCGCTTAGCCATTCGCAACCACCTGCAGTTAGCCGAATGCGCTCACTTCGGACAACATAGGACAGCGCAGGCGCTGTACGACGCTGTAGTCGCCCGTTACTCCTCGCCTGCCACTGCTGCTCTAGGCCGTCTTCTGCTGCCCTACCTGTTTCCCGAGCTGTCCGCTTTTGCCACGGTAGAGGATCTGGTTTCCCACCTTCGCACTAGCAACGCTCGCTACCGCGCTGCCCTCCCAGCAGAGTTCCTTGACAAGAACCCACCCCCGATGTACATCACTCTTTACTTCATAGTCACCCGCCTCCCTGACTCTCTTCACGCAGTCAGGGACCATTTTCTCGCACTTGACCCCACAGCCCTCACTGTTGACCTTCTCGAGCAGCACCTCCTCGCAGCTGAGACTAGTGTAGTCGCTGTAGGTGCTGCTCGTGGTACTCCGCGCACGCCCTTCTTTGAGGGGTGCTCCCCCTCCCCCCTTGCTCCCTCCTTCGCCTCTTCTTCTGCTGCTGACGTCCCTGGTGCTGAGGACGTCGGGGCTGCTTCTGCTAATGCGAAGCGCCGCAGCAGCAAGGGCAAGGGTGGCAGGGGTGGTGGCGGTGGCAGCGGGGGTGGTGGTGGGGGCAGCAGTGGAGGTGGTGGAGGCAGCGGAGGTGGTCACAGCGGTGGGAGTGGTGGCGGGAGTGGGGGCTTTGATGGCGGCGGTGGAGGCAGCGGTGGGAGTGGCGGTAGTGGCAGCGGTGGGAGTGGTGGCGGTCGGACTGGAGCTCAGCGTGGAGGTTCTGGAGGAGGCCAGAGGTAGCAGCAGCAGCGTCGGAGCAAGACCCCATCGCCCCAGCAGCTTCGTGAGTGGTTTTCTCAGCGTGGGGCGTCTGGGGGTAGTGTTAGCTGCCCGTATGTCATTCGCACATGTGACCGTGTTGGTCAGACATGCGGGATGCTTCACACTCAGCACTGCTGCTTCTCCCGCCTCGACGACGCTTGGCACGCAGAGTTTGGTGACGAGGCCGAGCGCCCCCGCTGGGCAGAGCTGCTTAGGTCTGGAGTTGCTATCTTTGACCTAGACTATGATGCTATCCTTGCTGCAATGTATGCTTTGTGTGTTTGTGCTGAGGGTGACTGTTACATGTGTGTGCCGCCTGACCCAGGTATAGAGGCTGCTGCTCTAGGTGCTAGTGAGTCTGTTCTCCCTGGTACTGCGCCTGCTGAGGTCTTGCATACCTTCACACTTGACTCAGTTGCCTCACGCTGTTTCTTTTGCGACAGCACCACCCTCACTCCTCT